CGCATTATCTTCATTGGGAATTTGTATTTTTCATGTACAGTGGGTGATAAAAGTGAGTTTAACTGGAAAAATGTTTACTAAATAATCAGTCACTAAGTTATTTTATTTTCAATTGGGGAGTTTTGTAAAAAAAAATATATCTACATCGGTTTATTATTTTTTCTGTAAATGGTATTTATAGTGAATATTTATAATTTTCTCCCAACATTTCAAAACTCTTTGAGTTTCAACATTAGTTGAAGTTGAGTTTTAACAAATAAAAAAGCAGTAAGTTCGGCCGGTTCGAACTTTGAATAACCTCAAACGTTTGGAAACTTCCAAAAAAAATAAGGTACCTTTATATGGGGGATATACGTGGACCTGCATAAGCATTTTTTATCATATACTGTAGTACCCAATTTTGTTGAATATTATCGCTGTAATCATCAAAATACCGAACATTGGGAGGTACGGCTACATGAGGTTTATAAGAAGGCCTGGACCTGCATGGACAATTTTCTATCATATACTCATTTTCCCATTAGGAACATTAAATACGAAATTCGAAACAATTCCGCTGTATAATGTCACTAAAATCATCACCGAATATAGGAAGGTACCGATATGTGGGGGCTATACGAAGACCTGGTCCTGCATACACAATTTTCTGTCAAAGATCTTAGTACCTACTAAGAACTTCAATTGCGAAATTTGAAATAATTCTGTTGAATAATATCGCTGAAATCATTAAAACACCGAATATGAGTTATATGGGGGCTATACCTGGACCAGCATAGGCAATTTTCTGTCATAACTCATTTCTCCATCAGGAACATTAAATACGAAATTCAAAACAATTCCGATGAAAAATGTCGCTGAAATCTGTAAAATACCGAATATGGGGAGGTACCGTTATACGGAAACTAAACGAAGATCTGGACCTGAAGGGGCAATTTTCTGTCATAGATTGAAGTAAATATTAAGAACTTCAAATACGAGATTTGAAACAATTCCGGTGAATAATGTCGCTGAACTCAGCTAGATACCGAGGGGGAGGGGGAGGTACCGTTATATGGGAACTATACGAAGACCTTGACCTGCATAGGCAATTTTCTATCATTAGATTGAAGTTCGTAATGGATACTAAAACCTTTAAGAACTTCAAATACGAAATTTGAAACAATTCCGGTGAATCACAATACCGAATATCGGGAGGGCTACGCGAAGACGTGGACCTGCACAGACAATTTTCTGTCATAGGCTGTAGTATCCATTAGGAACATAAAATACGAAATTTGAAACAATTCCGGTGAATAATGTAATTTAATTCACAAAATATCGAAAAAAGGGAGGTACCATTATATGGGTATTCCACAAATCAGAGATGGAAACCTAGTTTTTATGCAGTAAAATTCGACAAGGTAAATTACAGAAAATGCAGAGATGGGAATGCTTATTTGAAATGACTTAAACCTCTTAATTTTACCATGGTAAAATCCTTATTAATTAATGTAACAAATCCTTAAATAAATCCCCATAAAAGCGACAGAAAACTCTAATGTAAACATACTATTAGATAAAATAAAAACATAAACTTATTATTTTAAAACAGTGAATTCTAGTGCCTCAGCTACCCGAGAAATAATACTTAGTACTTTGAAGACTGAAAATATTTCTTCCCAAAAATTTATCGTTTCGGATTTTGTCTAAAAATATGTTGTCTTTCTGCCCAGGGTCTTTTCAACAAAATTCTCTCTGAGGTAACTGTGGTTAATGAGATCGACATCTAAGGTCCCATTACCTGTTCTGCGTATCGAACGGAAAATAGATTTTCTTAACAAGTAAAGTAAACAATCTAAGCTAAGCATAACTAGACACGTATCCATTAATGAAACAAATATTTAAAATATATTATGCGAACAGAATACGTAATGTGTTCAATGGCGTAATAAAATGGATAGTTTGTGCCCAGTGTTGTTGTATCCATGAATTAGAATTAAGATGGTAACCTTAGCACATATCCAGCTCTGCATATTCAGTAATTTACTTTATCAAATTTAGTTGAATAGAGAACAAGTTCTATATATGATTAGACAAGGTTAACCCACTATATTTATTAAATTAAATTTGTGTGTTAATCTTAAATAGTATAAACGTCTTATAAAACATATGTGAACAAGGACGGCTGCTATGGTAGAAGAATACAGGTAGATGCATCAACACTTGGAAACATTAATATGTCAAAAAATTTTAAATGCCTTTTCAAATATAAATAGATTTTTATACGTTTTCTTATACGACGTCATTCGGAAAATATTATAATACGCGTTTTTCAAGAAATTTTACAAATTTCAATAATTTTTCATTCAACATTTTTAATTCCAAAATTGTTTTTAGAGTTCATTGTCCCAGCAGATGGGTCGATGCGTCTACCTATATTCTACTACCATGCCGGCTGCCAAGACTGATATGCGACTAAAGTGCCTCCCTCAAAAAAATTAATAATTATAACTCTTACAAAATGTTCTCTCCAAACTTGGCACATCCTAATATTTCTACCAACACAAGATCTGCTATTTTTAAAGGATAGAACGGAAAACTATTTCTGGTAAATAATGGGATATATCGGTCTACTTCTTCTGGTTCCTACCCCACAAAGGATTTAATATTTTCATTAACCAAACGCTCATAAAATGTGAAATAAGCATCCGATCGCATTCAAATTTCATACATCCCAATGTTTCTCCAACACAAAATTTGGTTTGAAGTTGGTAGATACCGGTGCACTCCCCTTGATACCTCCCTCACAACGGAACAAAACTTTGAATTATTATATCTTTCATATAACCGATTATCGTCAAATTTCACACGTCTGAATATTTCTACCAACACTAGTTGTGTTCCAGAACCTGCAAATTAGTACTAATTAGCACTAATTCTGCTACAACGCGTTCCCGTACTCCAAAAACTAGCAAAACTTGCAGCTCTCTCGAGAAAAAAATGGCGCTGAGTGGTGCACATTTCTGCTTGTTTTAGCTACATGAATTTGGCCGAGCAGAAATGTGCATATTGTAAATTTGACATTTAATTGGCAGGGCTAACAAGGTTGAAAAATGTATTGATACATTTCAATAAAGAAAATGATTAACTTGAGGAAAAACTAATATTTGTCGTGCAAAAAACAAAAAGAGAAAATATGGAGCAACTGATGTATTCACTTTTGGATGATTCCAGCAGTGAAGAGGACTGGCTGAATGAGGAATCAGATTATTAATTATTATTATAAATTATTAATTTTAACTTATCGTCTTCAATACTCATTTTTTAAATGTTGGCGCTCTTTTCAGTAAGGTTTCACCAGTCCGATTTAGGCTGTTTACTTTTGGAATTTTGAATTTTGACATTTTATCGCATTTCTGCTAATTTTCCGTTCCCTTATTTTTTGAGCAAACCTAAATGAGAATGACATTTCGAACTGTTTACTCTTCTGCTAGTTTTACTACTAAAAAAGTACTGGAACACAACTACTATTGGACCTACCCGCTAGGAGAGTCACTATAGTTGTCCAGGGTGGCAGCACTGAATGACAGTTGCTACCATGGTAGAAGAATACAGGTAGGTGCATCAACACTTGGAAACATTGACATACCAAAATTTTTAAGATTTTTTTTTTTTTTAATAAGTAAATTTTTATATGTTTTCTCATACGATGCCAATCGGAGGTTGTTATGACTTGTATTTTCCAAAAAAAAATTACAAATTTGAATAATTTTTCATTTATAAATTTCAATTCCAAAAGTGGTTTGACAGTTCCCAGCAGCTGCGTCAATGCAACTACCTATAATCTTCTGCCATGGTTGCGAAACAAACATTGTATACTAAAGTGTAAAATCGTCTGTAGCATTTTTAACGCAAATGGAATTATTTAAACATGGTTATTATATGTTTTAAATGAGGCGACCTCCATCTCTTCTTGCAGTTCACAATAATAGTAATAATATTCTTAGAACCACAACCCGCAAACTGGTAAAACTCTTGTAAAATAATAGTTGTGTTCCAGAAACTACAAATTAGTACTAATAAGTACTAATTCTGCTACAACGCGTTCCCGTACTGCAAAAACTAGCAAAACTTGCAGCTCTCTCGAGAAAAAAATGGCGCTGAGTGGTGCACATTTCTGCTTGTTTAAGCTACATGAATTTGGCCGAGCAGAAATGTGCAAATTGTGAATTTGACATTTAATTGGCAGGGCTAACAAGGTTGAAAAATGTATTGATACATTTCAATGTTCCCGCGTCATAACAAAAATAAAGAAATGATCAACTTAAAAACTAAAGGAAAAACTAATATTTGTAGTGCAAAAAAACAAAAAGAGAAAATATGGAGCACTTTTGGATGATTCCAGTAGTGAAGAGGACCGGCTGAATGATGAATCAGATTATTAATTATTATTATAGATTACTAATTTTAACGTATCGTCTTCAATACTAATTTTTTTAAATTTTGGCGTCCGTTTCAGTAAGGTTTCACGAGTCCGATTTGGACTATTTACTCTTGGAATTTTGAATTTTGACATTTTATCGCATTTCTGCTAATTTTCCGTTCCCTTATTTTTTGAGCACACCTAATTGAGAATGACATTTCGAACTGTTCTCTCTTCTGCTAGTTTTACTACTAAAAAGTACTGGAACACAACTAATATTAGTTATTCGAAGTCATAACAAAGTCACCCAATGACTAATCGGAAACTTGCCGGAAATAAGTACCAACATCGTTCCAATGAATTATATCATATAGAGATATCTTTATATTGAACCTCATTGATCCCTCTCTTTCAAAGATAAGATTTATGCCTTATCTGAATGAATAATAAAGCAACCTCATACTTATTTTTGACACTCGCTGTATGTGGTTCAATGATTTTTTTATTTTGTTTTTATTTTTTATAGATTAAAAATTCAAAAATATGTCAAAAAATCAGTATTATTTAGTTGAGATGTAGTGGCATCTACTCCTCTCGCATTTACGCGCGCTCTCTCTCTCTCTCTCTCTCTCTTTCACTATTTCTCTGGTTCTCTCAATATCACAATTTCACTGAGCTAAGACCGTTATCTGTGTTAGCATTCGTATTTCGAGTACTGTGAGAATGGCCGGCAAGGCGACGGGTGGCAGGTGGCATTTTTGTGGGAAACAAGAAGAGTAAAAATAAGCAGCAGAGTCAAGTCATTTGTATTGTTGTTTTTGGTTTATTGGTTCTGTAAGTGTTGCTGGCTGGCTGTTTGGTTGATTGCTTGAACTGGCGGCTAGCTATTCGAAAGCGCCGAACCAACAAGCATTTCAGTCGGTGTTTTTCTTTGGTTGTGCGGACAGGCAGAAAAAAAGATTCGAAAACAAAATTTTGAAAATAGTAAACCAAAAATAGAAATAACAAAGAAAAAATACGAATATAAAATGCTGGAGCATTGAAACGGGAGTGAAATAAAATTTGTTAACAAAAAGTGCATGTTTAATGAGAAATAGAAGAAGTAATACCAAATAAAATAAGAAATTAAAGAAACCACCAACAATGGCGGCAGTGTTGTTTATTGTTACCATACCCACTGAGGCGGAGGAACAACGTCTGAAACAGGATATTCTGGCCCACACTAAATACGATGGGAAATCGGAGAAAGCCGAAACAGCCACTCTGGCTGGTATTTCCCTAAAAAGTGCCACAGGAGTTGTGGCGGCACCAAGCATTAACAGCAGAACTCCCTCAACGGCTGTTTTGACTCAAACACCCACTGCCACAAGAAAAACAAATAGCAGTGACTCGAACACAGGAGGCGATACAGGAAGTGTTTCAATTGCATTGGAACAACAACAAACCATATCGGTGAATTCCGATAATAACACCACCACCAATGATAATAACACAACACCAAATCAATTTGGTACATTTCCCAAACGCCGAAGAAAATCGGAGTATGTCATCAAAGCCCATGAGGGAAGATCACTGAAATCCAATGGCATTGGTGGCAGTTTGAAGAGTATTAATAAAATTCATACTCCTGTAAGTTAGGTCATCATCCATTTGGTAATCTCTAGCTCCGCTTATCGTGACTCTAAAAACTATTGCAGAATTTCCTGAAAGAAAGACTTGCCTCTGGCCAGGATGGTTCAGGAAAAACGAAATCCATCAAAAAGAAGGAGCCCACCCCCGACATGGAATTGACCTATGACACATGTATGGAGACCGTGTTGAGGGTCATACTTAAACGCTGTCAAATATCCAATGCCATGTGGGCAAAGGACGAGAATGGTCGTATGTATCAGGTAAACAAAGACAAACTGCACACAATAACAAATTACAGTAGAATCTTGATAAAATGGAATATCAACAGACTACAACTTTAAAATCTATCAGACTTGTCTATTGCACGGGATAAAATTATTTATTAAAAGTATTTATTTCTTACAAATTTTTGAGATTTTCAAAAAATTGAGAATCCACTGTTACTTGAAGAGCAAAGAAACATTTTTTGGGGGGTAATGACAGACTTCATAACTTAATTACCTATTTGCGTTTTTCCATTGGTTTTTCAAATCCCCAACCAAATATAAAGAAACCATTTACAAATGTGGTTATGTTGAGATTACCGCTCTGTGTGAATTAGACCAAAACAAACCGCAAACCAAAGAGGAAAATCAAAACGAATCAGTCAGTAGGTAACGACTTATTTTTTGCTCGTTTATTTTTGTACAAGTTTTTTTTTATTGTTAGGTTGTCGGTATATCCTCCCATAATTGTCCACCTCTCCTCCTACCCACATAATGATGTCATCCCAAATGTCGTCATTTTGCACAAAAATTCATCGAAAAAAATGCGCTCCGCTGAATTGGTTTCAGGGTCATCGGCAACAAGCATGAAAAACCATTTTCCCACAAAAAGAATACAAAAAATAAAACATAACAACAAATGGCGGGCGATAGACTATTTTGAAATTCCATAAATTTTGTCACCGTACCTACTTGTTGGTATGTTTGGATGTTATGGCTAAAAAAGAAACTACGACAACAAACAACATCGTACTGAAGATAACAAATGCAATGTTTATAATCCTCTAAAATCTTTTAATACCCATTTGTTTAAAGAACTATTAAAGTTTTTAATACGTTTTTGGACTACTATCGGAACTTATTCAGACTATTTGAAGAATATTTTTGAGGGCCTACAAGATCGAGAATTTTTATGGGACTTTCTGAGCTAGAATAGTGGATTTTTAAGGCTATAAAAGTTGTTTTTTGAAATATATATTTCTAGGACTAAAAGTACTCTAATAGAATATTTTCAAATGAATGTTTTATAGGACGGTTAGAGCTATAATCGTGGATATTTTGGAGAATACTTTTTGGAACTATAATCAGGTATATTCGAGAATTTTTTTTAAGTAGTTATTTTACAGGACTAATAGAGCCATACTCGTGGATATGTTTAAAACTATGACAGCTATAATCGTGGAATTGGAATGCATATTCTTATAAAACTGTAAGGGCTATAATTGTGGGTGTTTAAAGAATATTTTTATAGAACAAGCTGAGAATTGTGGATTTTGTTTTAAGAATATTTTGAAAACTCTTATCGCCGAGTTTTAAATAATATTTTTAAGACTTTAATCATTAATGATCATTTTTATTAAATAAGCATAGCTTTAATCGGGGATAATTATAAAAACTGTCAGAGCTTTACGTTTTTTTTTTTTTTTTTAAAGAAAATTTTTATAAAAATATCGCAGCTATAATCGTTGATTTTTATACCCTACACCACAAGGTGGTCAGGGTATTATGTCTTTATGCATTTGTTTGTAACAGGCAGAAGAAAACGAGATAGACCCATCTTTTCTTTTGATGATATGCATAGAATCACATTCTGAGTCGATTTATGCATGCCCGATTCAGACAAAACTTTGCACAAATACATTTTTTGACCCTAGGACGAACCCTATTGAAATTGCAGGTAATCGGTCAAAATTTAGGTATAGCTCCCATATATATTTTCATCCAATTTGCCTTATATTGTGCACCAAACTTGTAATATCAGTCCAAATAGTATGGAATTTTGCACATACGACCAAATTAGGCCTGGAAATAAGTATACCAAATTTGATCGAAATCGGTTCAGATAAAGCTATAGCTTCCATATATATTGTTCATCCGATTTGTTATTTTTCTCCTCCGCAGCCGTAACATGCACTCTGTAACAACGATATTTGGGGAAATTTATCAAATATAACTCAGAAATACCCTTGCTAAATTTTATTGAGATCGGTTAATGGATATAGCTCCGATATATATCTTCGTCGGATTTGCATTTTTATTGTGCACCAAACATGTAATTTTAGTCCAAATGGAATAGAATTTGGTACTTACGACCAAATTGAGTCTAGAAACGAGTATATCAAATTTGGTGGAAATTGGTTCAGATATAGCTATAGCTCCCATACATATTGTTTGTCCGATTTGTTGAATTTGCCCTGCATAGCCGTAATATGGACATTGTAGTAACGATATTCGGGGAAATATATCAAATACAGCTCAGAAATAACTTTGCCAAATCGGTTCAGATTTAGATATAGCTCTCATATATTTATATCCGATTTCAAGTTAATTGTGCAGCATATGGATAATACAAGCCCCAATTGAAAAGGCGCAAATACCTCGACAAATTTAGTAGAAATCGATTCAGAGGAGGATATTCCTCCCATATATAAGTTCCTTTGGACTTTTAATTATTACTATAATCATAGATGGTATGATTTAGAGTATCATAGTCAGCCCCGACCTACTTTAAGACTTTCTTTAATTTAGTAAAAATCGTTTCAGAAGAGGATGTTATTCCTCCCATATATTAGTTCCTTTGGGCTTTTTATTATTACTATAATCATATTTGGTATGATTTAGGGTATCATAAAGTCAGCCCCTTTAAGACTTTCTTTACTGATTTAAGCATGTTCTTATAGAACCACAAAAGCTATTATCGTAGATTATTTAAAGAATATTTTTATAAGATTACCAGATCATTACACAGGAACAAAAAATTCTTATAAAAGCTATCTGAGCTATTATTGAGAATTATCTAAAGAATATTATTATAATACCGGATTTTTAAAGGCTATTTACATAAGCTAGTAGTTATTCAACCTTGGGTTTACTAAAGCACATTTTTATAGGGCAAGCAGACCTATAATCATGAATTATTTTGGTAAGATTTTCAGAGAATATTTTCATCAGAACATTTTAGATAGATTTAAAAAATATGTTATTCGTGAGCTTTTAAGGAATATTTTATGTATCAGATCTATAATCAAGTGATTTTTTAAGATTTACTTGTCTAAAAAATATGAGTTTTAATCGTGATTTTAAAATATTTTCATGATTATGATTGTTGGAGCAATGATAGTGCAGTTTTGAGGAATATTTTTGGTTGATTATGGGAGATGAAAGGATGTATTTTAGGTATACTATTACTATTATTATTATTATTATTATTATTATTATTATTATTATTATTATTATTTTTATTATTATTATTATTATTATTATTATTATTATTATTATTATTATTATTATTATTATTATTATTATTATTATTATTTTTATTATTATTATTATTATTATTATTATTATTATTATTATTATTATTATTATAATTATTATTATTATTATTATTATTATTGTTATTATTGTTATTATTATTATTATTATTATTATTATTATTATTATTATTATTATTATTATTATTATTATTATTATTATTATTGTTATTATTAGTATTATTATTATTATTATTATATTTTTTTGGAATATTAGAGGTGGAATAATTGTAATTAGTATACCGATATATCATATTTTCAATACCAAACACCCTAGACAGAATAAAAGTTGTTCTGCCACACTTTGAAGCACTACGTCAATTGATGTGAGCTGTATCGTGATTTCAACAGACGGACTGATCATGAATATATACTCTTTATGGGGTCTACGACGAATATTTAAGGAAGTTACAAACGGAATGATAATGAATGACAATGACAGTTAATATACCCTCCTTTTCAAGGTGGAGGGTATAAAATATCATCAATTTTGGTTTATTGAACCCATTTATTATTTCAACAAGTTTACCTCGCAAATAACATATATTTCACAATATTCAATATGGAGCTCTGAAATTTTATTGAAAACTTAAGGTTACTTCAAGAATCATTGATTAAAAAAAACAAAATAATATAAAATATGGAACACCCACAGAATATAAATAACCGATTTTAAAGACATCCACTTATGGCTACATCTATTTTTTGATTTTGCTATTATTCAGAATATCATCAATTTTGGTTTATTGAACCCATTTATTTATTTCAACAAGTTTACCCAGTTTTCCAAATTCGCTGCAAATAACCGTTACCCCAATATTTAATATGGAGCTCAGAAATGTAATAGAAAACTTTAGATTCAAGAATCACTGGTTTAAAGAAAATGTACATAAAATATGGAAGTCCTACAGAATATAAATAAACGACTTTAAAGACATCCACATGACCTTCTAGCTATAGAATACGCTTAAATATCATCTGCACATGTTAAAGGATTATTTATAAAAGTTGATTTTTTGTTATCATTTTTTATTTTGACGTGATTCAGACATTTTCCTGGATTTTTAAATTCGTAACACTTGAAATGAAAAATCGCAACTTAATATGGCAACAAATTATTCGTCTATTTATGGACATATTTTTATTAATTAGCTGGCATTTGCTACATTTTTTCTAAAAACGCCAAAAACTGTCTATCTTTAAAATGTTTAGAGAACAAACCACCCAATTTCTCGAGTACCTGTCACATTTCCCCGAAATAAACACACAAAAACAATAAAGAAACCCCCAAAAATATCAATACAACAAACATTGAACTTGAAATACAAAAAAATAAAAAAACAAACTCGTTGATGTTGATTATCGCCAAATTAAAGTTTTTTTTTAGTAGTAGTCAGCAATAATTGATATTTCTGTGTGTTCCATTATGTACATATGTTTGTATATATGATACATGTGGATCTGATTATAAAACAACCGACCTAAGGGGAAAAAAATCAATCAGCCAACTAACCTGTTTATCATTTCTCTGCAGAGCCTTATAACAATTTTCGATTCTCACTCGGAAACAGCAGCATATTCAAATGTCTCCAAATGTTATTAACATGCATGGTCGGGATTTGTCAGACTATTTAAGTTCAAATTAACAAAAATATGTTAATTGTGGTTTTTTTATTTTCATTTATAGTTTATTTTTCTGTTACAATTTGTTGGTGACAAATATTTAGTTGTTTAAGAAAAATACAATGTTTTGGTTTTGTTTTGCCAATGGAGCACAAATGATCTCTCCCAAGAATAAAGAGCTCTGTACTCTCTTTGCAAAATAAAGAGAACATTTGATATCATCTTCATTGTTGCAAAATTTAGTATACATTCGTTTTTATGGTGAAAGTTGGGTTTTACTTTTTTGTTTCTAAATAAACATCTGCCTTTGATATGGGCCAGCACAGAGCACAGTGCAACGATCTCATAATAAGATGGCCAAAAAAGAAATAATAGATTGAGGTGGATAACAATTGGCAGAGATGTTCCTTTGTTTTAGAGAACTTTAAATATTTGAAATACCACCAAGTGTGGCTTGGAACTATTCTTTTTAATTGGTGTTACACAAATGTAGTTAACCACATTTAATGACCTGTTTTACATTAATGTCACAAGGTCGTTTGTATAAAATCATTTTGGATTCCGTATAATTTGTTTCAAATTTGGATTGCAATTTTAATTAAAATTCTGCTAAAAACACGATAATCGTAAAAGTGAAATGCATTTTCGCCGCCTCATTACACTGAAAACAAAATAAAAGTTGCAGTTCCTCATTTTCCTTACTTATTGTTGTCTTGCCTTTTTTGGCATCAAAGCCACAATTTGTGTGACCATTATGTTGCATGTCGGTCTTTGATTTGTATTTCGTGTGATTTTCACAAAAAATAAAACTTTGGTTTACGTTTTTAATTAATGTAGTATTCAGCACGACAATGTTAAATATGAAAAATGATTTCTATGAATAACACTCAAAATGAAATGACTATTGTAATAAAAATTGGTCTAACTTGGGACATTACTCGAGTTTTGGATTTGACCCAGCCCAATAGGTGTAATTTAATGTTTAAACTGACTATACTGCAATGACTACTTTAAGTTTCTCCAAAAACTTAAAAAAAATAATTCAACTCAACAGTTTGCAACAGTTTGCAGGAATTTAACAGCATTCAGCAGAACCACAATGTCAGCGTAAGCCACTACTTTCGTTCTGTCATGTTTCAGGTCTTTTACTTTAATGTTTGTAACCAGAAGCCAAAGTAATGGTGATAGAACCCCTCCTTGTGGGGTATCCCTAGTAACTGATTTCCTGACAGAACACTCTCCAATGCTTGAGTTGATGATCCTGCTACTGAGCATAACATCAATCCGTTCAATTATGATTGGTGGTAAACTAAGTTTTGTAAGGGAACAATGAATTATCTCAAGTGTGACCTTGTCTCTTCTATATCGAGAAAGGCTGCCAAAGTAAAGCACGAGTCATTCAGGTTCTTCTCCACAAACCCCACGACATTATGCTGCGCTGTTTCAACATAATTTCCTTTCATCTAGGCATGTTGAGCTGTGCGATTATCGAAGTCAAAGGTAGTAGAGATCTGATATCAATATCTATTAGTCTCTTCAGAGTTTTTAACAGAAAAGACGAAAGTCTGATAGGCCTGTAGTCTTTTGGAAGAACATGATTTGGTTTTCCCGCCTTGGGAATATAAGGGACTGTAACTTCCCTCCACAGTGATGGAATGTGCGAGAGACGCAGACAAGCCTTAAGAATGACTTCCAGAAATGGTATTATTATCGTCAATGCATGCTGTTACATGGCGGGAATAATGCCGGTCTGTCCCTGTGACTTGATAGGTTTGAAGGTTTTAATCGCCCATAACTATTACCTTAAAAAGTAATTTAATTTTTTTCATTGTCAAAGGAATTGTTCAAAGATTTTCTCAGCCAGCTGACATAAGACAACTGATTTTCTATCAGCAGATGATACTGGATAATTCCTACCGAGAATTTTTTCAAGAAAATTGGTTCAGATATAGCTATAGCTCATATATAAGTTTTAATTAAAGTTTTCTCAAAGTCGAGAGACACAAATGCCTCTGTCAAATTTGGGGGAGATGCGTAGAGCACTTTTAAATTATTGAGAAAATATAATCAAAATTGTCATTTTTGTGAAAATTTTGTTATTTGATATTATAACACAATTTTAAATGCATACTTATTATCTTAAAAATTATTAAAATTTTTAAATTGTTGAAGAAATTTTTTATACATTTTCTCAGCCAGAAGACAGCTAATATTCTATCAACATATGATACTAAGATAATTCCTCCTGAGAGAATTTTCTAAATTGCTCTCTTCACTCGTTCTCATCTGTTGTACTGGATTTTTGGGTAACAACTAACCTAATGTCAATTAACGATAAGGAAAGGCGCCTTTATCGATCCCATATTGTCAATATAACAACACCAATTATTATCCATTATCAGTATATCGTAATCAATTTGATCGGAAACAAGAAATTTCATTTATTTATGGTGTTTCATACCAAAATCCATATTTTGCGATTATTTTGTAGCATTTTTTTTCTGTTAGCCGAGATATTTGGTGGTATCGAGACATTTAAGTGCTTGTTTTGCATGACGTATATTAAATATCATTAATTCGCCAGATTGTCTAAAATGTTCTGGTTTTCTGGTATTTTTTTCGGTTGAATGTCGTACGTGTGGTGTTTATCAAAGAGGCGGCTGTTGATTTATGATCTATTAACGGTTAGGGAAATATACCTACTTTGTTTCAAAACGTTTTGAACGTGGGGTTTGTTTTTAGCGGGAACTCAAGTGATGCTTGCTGAAAGTTGATAAAATATGGAAGTGATATTTTTCGGCATATGAAAATAATGAGTCCAAATATACACTGGTAAAAAATTGGACATAGTTATAATTGTCGCACTGTCTGAAATTTAAAAAAAATAGTAATTATAGAAAAAATCTGCCAGATTATGAAAGTAAACCTAAAAATAAAGTAACTTCAATAATGGGGTCAATTTCCTTCCTCTTCCACATTTTTTATACCCTCAGCCATATGGATACAGAGGGTATATATCATTGGATACGGGCATAACGTGCCTCATCGAAATAACGGTTTTAGACCTTGGCAGAATTTTTTTGGTCAAAAAATTTAACTCCAAAGTGTCTTTTGAAAATATGTTTTTTTAATTATGGTTTGAATCCCTTTGAGACCAGATCATTTCAATTTGCTTATCATGACCTAAACGCTTTAAACGTGATTACAATTTAACAAATACCACAATTTTGTAAATCTTTTCTAGGTCTCTTTCACGGTGGAATTCAATGAAATCTATGAGAAAATATTGGACGATTTCAATGAATGGGGTATTGGTGATCGTGAAGGTTCTTCCGTTTCGGTTATGAATTGTATTGCCTCCAAGGCATTTTCAACCAAAGACGAAGATGATGAAGATAATGACGAAAATGCTGAGTAAGTCTACCAACAAAAATAAGATCAAATCATTTGTATGTAATCATCTAATCTCTATTCTCATTACAGCAATTACGACAAAAAACAAAGCGCCTGGGAGCGTTTTATGAACTCCGTCCGTAGTCGTTTGAATGTAACACAGATTGTGCGAAATGTACGCGAAGATGCCTCAATTACATTTGATTTTGTGGTATTATTGATCTCAGCGGCGTAAGTTTGTGGAATTTAAAAAAATTTTGATTTTATTTTGTGATTTAATAAAAAATCCTTTGCCAGAGTCCTAGCTGCCTTTGGTTTAATCGAGAATAGTACAATATTCTTGGCATCCAGTATGTTGGTATCACCGCTAATGGGCCCCATTATTGCCACCATCTTTGGCACCGTAATCAAGGATAAATCCCTGTTCCGCTTGGGCATGATAAATGAATTGTTTGGCATTTGTACGGCCGTCTTAGTTGGTTTCATCTTTGGCATTGTTGTCTGCACCACCGATGAAAGGTATAGCATTGGCGAGGGTCTCACCGATGAAATCCTATCGAGATGTGAATTACATTCACTTATTGTGGGTGTATTTACGGCGATACCATCGGGTGCTGCGGCCGCTATTGGTATTTTGGGTGGCAATATTGGCTCGCTGGTTGGTGTGGCAATTTCCGCCTCGCTGTTGCCACCGGCTGTTAATTCGGTAAGATTTAGTATGATATATGATATATAGTATATGTCAATAAGTTACATTTTAAATGCCTTCTATCATCATAGGCCATTTATTCCTAGGAACGCTAATAAAGGTTTTCCTTTTTTAAAATTCCCTTTTAGGATCTTCTGCCTTTTGAAGATTCTCAATTAATAGATGATCATTTAAAAGACTTCAGTTTAAAGAAATCTTTTGGAAACCCTTTATATTCATAGGCCCTCTATTCATAGGAACGCTTATAAAGGTTCTCTTTTTTTTAAGTCCCTTTTAAGATCTTCTGCCTTTCGAAGATTCTCAATTGATAGATGATCATTTAAAAGTCTTCGGTTTAAAGAAACGCCTTTAAAGATCATCTGTTTATATATGACTTTTTTTTAACACTATTTTAAAGAACGGAGGACCCTAGAACAGACTTTATTGTCATAGTATAGATGTAATATCAAGATTTCCGGTCTATATAATTTAGGTCTTTAATGTGTTCATTCTTAAGGAATAGAAAATCCTATCCTATTTTAAAGTTCGTAATGGATACTACAGCCTATGACAGAAAATTGTCTGTGCAGGTCCACGTCTTCGTATAGCCCCCATATTCGGTATTTTGATGATTTTAGCTACATTATTCAACGATTTTTTTCTTGTTTCGAATTGAATATTGTAATTAATGGCTTATAACAAAAGTAAGCTATGCAGGTCCACGTCGTCTTATAGACCCTAATATAACGGCTACATTCGATATTTTTAAGATTTTAACAGAATTTTAAACGGCTTTTATTTTTTTGAAAATTACCAAATTCGTTACAAATAGTGGAGGGAATAAAATTTCGCTCTGACCGATCTTACAGCTTTTTTATTTGTTATGATTAAAAATCTTCCAAAGGTCTTTTATAAAAATATGATATTCCAGGGATCTTTAATTGATATATGACAAATATTTTTTATGAATTCTTCCATAAGTAGAGGACCCTCCAGCCGTCTTTCTTACATCAAGAAACTTTCTTTTATGAAACAAAGGCTTTGCAACAGGCTTCCTATAAATAAAAGACATCCAAATTAAGAAAAACTAAATTGGAAAACTCTTCTTTTTTTCAGGGTCTCCTTTGGGCCATAGCATTAATCTATAAATGCTATGAAAATGATGAATCCAAATTCCCACAAGTGGTGAAGTCCACTCAATATTCCGAGAATCAAGCCAACGAATTAGCCGTCTTGGCCACAATTAGCATGTGCTTGACCATATCGAATATCCTTTGTATCTATGTTATGGGTATATTGGTATTGAAGTTGAAAGAAATCGCTCCCGTATCGGGTACTAATCGTGAATTTTGGAAACATGATATTAAAATTGCCCGTCATCTTAAGCGTCGTCGTCTCGACAGCGATAATGTTATTATGGATGAATATGCCCACCTGCCGCAAGAGGATCAAAAAGCGTTGGGTATTAATTACGACATGCTGAGAACGATACAAATGGATGATGCTGCATATCAGAATACATGGTCACCGGTGGGTACCCGACATCCATTTGAGACGTCGTATGAACCAATGCGTGGTAACTATTCGACGGTACATCAAATCGATCAACTCTATGCTACGATAACACATCAGACTACGATGAAGGAGAAAATGTAAGGGGGAGGAATATTTTAATTTGTTCTTGAAAGTTGTGACAATTTATTCTAATTTGTTTTTCATGCATTTTCAGGCATAGATTTGGTTTGGGACGCCGACCCACAGGGCGTATGGTGGACTTTGCTTCCTCGTATAAACTGCTAAGTGAAAACGTAAGTTGAAACGAAAAGACATAGTTACAAGTGTATCTACAAATCTACGTCAGATATTAAAAGAGATCCTAAGAAGATCTAGATGTCTTCTACCAGAAGATCTACAGATGACCCAGAAGAAGATGTACGGCTTTTCTAGAAGTAGATCAAAACCTTTTCTAGGAGAAGATCAACAGATCTCTTGATGAAGGTCGTCAGATCTTCTATGAGAAGGTCGTCAGACCTTCTATGAGAAGATCTACAGATCTTCTATGAGAAGATCTACAGATCTTCTATGAGAAGATCTACAGATCTTCTATGAGAAGATCTACAGATCTTCTATGAGAAGATCTAGAGATCTTCTATGAGAAGGCCTTTAGTCTTCTATGATAAGACCTAGAAATCTTCTGTGAGAAGATCTACAGATCTTCTATGAAAAGATCTACAGACCTTCTATGAGAAGATCTACAGATCTTCTGTGAGAAGATCTACAGATCTTCTGTGAGAAGATCTACAGATCTTCTATGAGAAGATCTACAGATCTTCTATGAGAAGGTCTACAGATCTTCTAAGAGAAGATCGACAGATCATCTATGATAATATCTACAGATCTTATATGAGAAGATCTACAGATCTTCTATGAGAAGATCTACAGATCTTCTATGAGAAGATCTACAGATCTTCTATGAGAAGATCTACAGATCTTCTATGAGAAGATCTACAGATCTTCTATGAGAAGATCTACAGATCTTCTATGAGAAGATCTACAAATCTTCTGTGAGACGATCTACAGATCTTCTATGAGAAGATCTACTGATATTCTATGAGAAGACCTATAGATCTATGAGAAGATCAACAGTTCTTCTATGAGAAGGTCTACAGATCTTCTAGGAGAAGGTCAACAGATCTTCTATTAGAAGATCTAACACATCTTCTATGAGAAGATCTACAGATCTTCTATGAGAAGATCTGCAGATCTTCTATGAGAAGATCTACAGATCTTCTATGAGAAGATCTACAGATCTTCTATGAGAAGATCTACAGATCTTCTATGAGAAGATCTACAGATCTTCTATGAGAAGATCTACAGATCTTCTATGAGAAGATCTACAGATCTTCTATGAGAAGATCTACAGATCTTCTATGAGAAGATCTACAGATCTTCTATGAGAAGATCTACAGATCTTCTATGAGAAGATCTACAGACCTTCAAAATTGTTCATGACTCCTTAAAACCTCCCCCAAATTTTTTCATAAAATCAATTGATTTTTCTCTCTCTCCAGCTACCCCGTTCCCGTTGCTCAACAATGCCGTCCAAGGTCAATCCGCCTACCGTCAAAATAGTCACTCCCGATTCCTCGCAATTCAACTCCTGCACGAATACACCGTCCATGGCTGCCGAGAAAAATCGACGAAAATTCATTGTGACACCAGCTGAAGATGATCCATTGCAACCATTGAATCCATCGGATGCATAAATCTATATTTATTTGTATATAGAAATAGATAATTAGTAGAGTATGGGTCTAGGCGTGCGTGCGTGTGACTTACATCATCATCGATCAGTATACTTAAAGGTATCACTTTTCAACTTAGGTAGTTAATAACTAAACAAATAAATTGTTAAAAGAAATAGAAACAGAAACTAGTTTATATGTATACACACACTCACATACTCTATTTATTTATAGATATATAGAAATAACAATTTACAATTATTGTATAATTTGTATTGTTATAATTCATTTATAATGTCGTTTTTTTTTCTAGGATATATATTAGCGAACAAACAAAACTAACAACAATTTTCAAAACATAACATTTATTATTATTATGATGATCTTTTGTTTAAATGTTTTTTTTTTTTAATATACATATCTGCCATTTTAGTTTCCACTCGTCGTCCTCACTTTTTTTCTCTGTGTATAGATAATTGTTATTTGTTTAGTTAAATTTTGTTTGATATATATATTTTTTTGGCTAGTACCTATGTTGTTAGTAACTGATTCTTGTAACTTGGCTTTATGTAACTACGCCAAAAACAAAGAAACTACACAAATAAAATATGTACTTGATTTCCCTCAGGTGTTTTCAATTGAGAATATCTCGTTTTTTTATTTTTCTTCTTCTTTTGTACAAATAACAACACGGTTTTTTAAGGATAATAACAGAAAAGAATCAAATATTCATATTAGTTTATAAATCAGCTATTGAGGGTCCTTGACGATCAGCTTTGGTCTGTGATCTTTGACGTTTTTGAAAGAGACGTTCACGGGCAGCTTTCTCTTGTCTGTAAAAGGACAAAAATTATACATATATCAATTTCAAGAAAATAATGTACTTTGTGACAACTTCGACTAAGACAAAATAATACAGTATCTGAAAAATAAGATAGGAAACATAACTTGCCATCAGATGAATACACTCAGCCAATTACCGTATGAGTATTGGAATCAATAGAACAAATCTGTCAATATCTACAGAGGGTATATATTATTTAATAGGCCCAAAACGTACCTCATCGAAATAACGATTTAGACCATAGGTCTCTTTGGACCAAATCCGTTTCAGGACATTTCGAGTCGATCTAGAGATGTCCGTCCGTCTGTCTGTATGGCTGGTGTGATGTAAGAGTCCAATTGTCTTCAAATTACACACAAAACAATATTTTTATTAACCCAAGGTCTGGAGTGAAGATGGAATATATCGGTCCACTAATGCTGGTATCTCCAGCAAATTTTGAATATTCATGAAGATTTGCACATCTGAGTATTTGCATCAACACATGATCTGTTAAAGACAGTAAACCTCGGACCCCACAAGGCGTCCAAGTTTTGAAAAATCAAACCAATCATAAAATCCGAAATAAGCATCCGGTTCTCTGTCAATTACACACATCAGAATATTTTTGTTAACTCAAGGTCTGTTGTGAAAAATGGGATATATCGGACCACACCTTCTGGTACCTCACCCACAAACGGTAACAGGGTGAGATGAAAAAACTACAACCAACTTCAGACTGCTGTCATTTTTATGTCACTCGTCCGACAGCTGTTAAAGTTATTCCAGTGACAGCTCATTATATTGTTTACAAGCGCACAAAAGCATTTTGGTGAGAATTTTCCAGAAAAAAAGTTATTCGTGATGGAATTCAAGCGTGATAGTGTGATTTCTTTATATTTGGCTGGAAAACCACAAGTGGCTATCGTCAGAGCACTCCAGCATTTAAATGTGAATACTGGTAGCGTAGCCCGACGTCAAGGAAGTGGACGGAAGAAAACAGCATCATCAGCAGAAATAGTTCAAAAAGTAAAGAAGCGACTTAATCGAAACCAGCGTCGCAGTGACCGAAAAATGGCTCGTGAGTGGAACATATGGCAATATTCCATTCGACAAATATTGAAAAATTAACTCGGGGTAAAGCCATTGAAATTCCGAAAAGTGCATGAACTTATACCGCAACTGAAAGAAAATAGACTCAAAAGAGCTAAAGAGTTGCTTCGCTTTGCCGAAAGTGGTGAACTGCCGAATTTGGTTTCCTCCGCTCCGATGAGAAAACATTCGTTGCCCAGCAGTTTTTAAACAAACAAAATTATCGTGTTTAATAGCCAAAGAGGTCTGCTGAAAATGTGCACCTTCTGTTGGCCATCAGAACTCAAGCACCGGTCATGGTGATGGTGTGGGCCGCCATAACAGCCGATTTTCACTCTCCGCTCGTATTAATCGACCGTGGCATCAGAATTAGTACCGAATATTATTGCGAAAATATTCTGTAGGATGTGTTAAAGCCTTGGGCTCGCAAACATTTCGGCCGCAGACCTTGGACATTCCAACAGGACTCAGCACCGTCGCACTCAGCACGCCACCGCCACCCATGAATGGTTACAAAATGAGTTCCTCGCTTCATTTCCAGCGCACAATGGCCACCGAAAACTCCGGATATTAATCCGTTGGACTATTGTGTCTGAGGTATTTTGAAAAACAAGGTTGGCACTAAAAAATACCAAAGTGTCGATCAACTCAAGCAAGGCTTCGCCGAGAATGGGTCATAATACCGCAGAACAACACTCGGGCAGCGTGTGACGGTTTCATTGGCCGTTTAAAGGCCATGATTCGTGCTAAAGGGGACCAATAATATTGTGAAGAATGAATGGCTGACTAACTCAAGGTGGCTCCCAGTCGATTAATCTATCGATTGATGAAACTGTCAAACCACCTATAATCTATTATGTCAGTCGATATAAAAAGGCTCTCTTTGAAGAAAATTGCACTTGAAAACCGGTTGTATGGTATCTAGGCCGGTAATATCTAGAAAAAGAACTTACTCCATTCTATCAATAAAATTGTCTGATCCAAAAATCCTAATGGGAATATTGACACTGCAGGATAACGGTGGTCCGACTACTGCAGACAATGTGAGGGCGAAGAAGAGGTGGGTAAGATTCAACGTCTATAATGCCGATGTCCCAAGCTGCCAAGCAAGAGACATATGCTGTTCGGTAGGTGGGAGAAGGAAACTCGAACGTTCTTCTCAGAAGTAGATTCCATCATCATCCAGATGAGTGCTATAATGACTAGGCAAAATATTTCTATCCTTTCTTTCTTTTTTTCTCAATTTATATCTTTCCTATCATAACTAACACTTCCTAGTATAAACACAATAGGCCTATGATCTCCGAGTGGAGCAACTGCCTACTTCAGTATAGCTGCGCATCCTGTAACCTAATCCAACGCGTATAAATGTTCTTCCCCAATATAATTAGCACATTTCCATCTTGTGGGGAGCATGAACTATTTGTACACATTTTGGAACAATCTGATCTGGGTGACTTAACTAAACAATTGGTTTTCTGAAATCAGTGCACTTACCTTTTACGTAATTTTTCCAAAGTTTCTTCGGATGGTGGTGGAGCCTCAATTTCATATTCTCTAATTAGTGCGCGCAATTTCTCTAAGGCATCGGCCAAATTCATTTGTTGTGAGCGGGTCAAATCACTCTTGACTACATAGTAACCTTCTTTGGTGATTTTATTTTGCAGCTGAAAGAAAATAAGGAGTTAATTCATGTTCACAAATAAATAGTAAAAGGGACGTGTCCACTCAAGTTGTTATGATCGCAGTGATGTAAAACTCACGACTTTTATATGATATTTTTAATGAGGCTAAATCTGTACATGTTTCAGTTTTGCCCTCCCGTTACAACTGTGATCTAAGCAAGTTCTACAAGAGTTAAGGCTCTTGAACAACTCAATTGGAGTCCTTGACTTGAAAAAGAAGCTTCGGGGACGTACCGAATTTAAAAGTTTTTGGCGTGTTTTCTCTGGAATCCAATCAGCCTCGGCCAATTTGAAGCGTACATCAACTTTGGTGTTGACCGTATTGACATGTTGACCACCGGGACCCGAACTGCGGCTGTAGGTGATTTCCAATTTATTTATTGGTATAAAGCCGGAAAATTTGTCATCCTTGTTGGAGGGCTATTTGGGAAAAAGGGAAACATTAATATTACAATGAATATCCTAAATTTCAGAATGTCTTTTCACCGGTGGCGGCGTGTAAAGTTGCAAACGACTGTTGGGATAAAGTTTATCCAATGACAAGTCACTTCTGAATGAAAGATGTCTTCCTAAGACGGCAGCTGATGAATAGGTCTTCTCCAGGTTGCCATGGCTAAGGACCGATATGAAACTTTTGCAAATTTTATTCATTTTAGAAAATTTGAAGGAAAATTTGGCCAAAAAATGAGCCTTCACTTGTTCTCTCGTAACACTTTGACAATAGGGCTGGCAAATAATAGATAACAATATCGATACTTTATTTTAGATGAGAGTATCGATTAATAAATTAATTTATTTTAGATGAGAGTATCGATTAATAAATTAATTTTATCATACGAAATGCCAGCACTGTGAACGAGTGAACGAGGGAGGTAGGAATGAGACATGGGGTAACACAATCAGCTGGAAAATTCATTAAAGAGAGCCGTGTAACTAAAATACACCACACACATGTGCCTTTAAAACTGTAAACTGCATTATCGACACTCGAATGCGACTAGTTTAACAGACCTTGTGAGAGAAACGTCAAGACTAGTTTAAAAAGCATTACAAGAGAAACGTCAAGACTAGTTTAAAAAGCATTACAAGAGAAACGTGGATAGTTTGTTTTGATTGATAAATTAACAAACTTAACAATTAAGAACATAAAAACATTATTTTATAAAAAGTAATATGGACACAGAAAATAACAATTCCAAGGTACATAGCCACAATGTATTCTGTTTCACATCCACAGACAGGGTATTTGGCTGCAAACTATGGCCAATTGCGAAGACATGGCCTGACCAACGAAGGAATGAAAACCACAATTCATGAAGATGCGGGATGTGCTTCTAGTCCAAAATTTCAAAGAACATTAGCTGCTGCCTAAAAGGAGTCCCCTGGGCTAGAGACAGCAGATTATATTTTCATTTAGCAGAAGCTCACGTAGAAAATGTCATTCCATTGCTTTCTAGTGGATAATATAAGTTCCTTTTCATAGGCTTGGATAATAATGTATGTAATTCCTTTTCCAGACAACAATTAAGAATCCCATAAACAAAATTATTCGTGAACGATCGGCAGAAATTGTATCTGGCGGCAATGTGTTCTATAATCCTGTACAAGAATTTAATCGTGACCTGAGTGTATCGGTACTCAATGTATATTTTCAACAACTGCTGAAGGAGAGGGCAGCATCTAAAAAGAATCATAAAAAGGAGACCAATGGCAATAGTGATGACAAAAATGAAACAGAAGAAACATCGGAGCCGAATGCCATCACTTATAAAGCTGGGCCAAAATATAAAAATGGTCTACGTATTTTGGAAGCTCTGTCAGCAACAGGTTTGCGTAGCATACGTTATGCCAAGGAAATTGCTGGCGTTAAAGAAATCATAGCCAATGATTTGTCAAGGCAGGCGGTTGAGGCTATCAGAGAGAATGTAAAACACAATCGGGTCGAGCATTTGATAGAGCCAAGTCATGCCGATGCCATGTGAGTAGCACATCTATTTATATAGGAAATAAAATCATTCATATTAAAATTTTTCATTGGTTTATAGGACCCTCATGTACCTGTCAACCGCCAAGGAGAAACAATTCGACTGTGTCGATTTGGATCCATATGGCTGTCCAAATCGTTTCCTGGACGGTGCTATACAATCAATTGTGGATGGTGGTCTGCTGCTGGTCACTGCCACGGACATGGCTGTTTTGGCAGGAAATGCCCCAGAAGCATGCTATGTTAAATATGGTTCGGTACCGTTGCGTATGAAATCATGTCACGAAATGGCATTACGCATCCTACTGCATTGCATCGAGACGCATGCCAATCGTTATGGCAAATATATTGTACCTTTATTGAGCATTTCAGCGGATTTCTATGTACGTGTTTTTGTGCGTATTTTTAGTAGTCAAGCCAAGTGTAAATTTAGTATGAGTAAACAATCAATGATCTATCAATGTACGGGCTGTGATACATACACCTTGTATCCACTGGGTACGATTAAGCCGAATCCAACGGCCAGCAATCCAAATCAGGTTAAATTTGGCATACCCACGGGACCACCTGTGTCAGAGCAATGTGAACATTGTGGCCATAAACATCATGTAAGTATTTATGCTACTTTCTACTTATATTGCAATAACAAGTTTTCCCCCTTTTCTAGTTGGGCGGTCCCATTTGGTCTGCTCCCATACATGACAAATCCTTTGTCCAAGAACTCCTCAGTGCAATACAAAAAAGTCCCCTAGATGAATTGGGAACCCAAAAACGTTTAGTGGGCATGTTAACGGTGGTGCTAGAAGAATTGGACGATGTCCCCCTGTACTATACCTTGGATAAACTCTGCTGCGTTTTGAAATTAGAAATAGTTCCTATACTGAAATTCCGCTCTGCAATATTACATGCCGGTTATAAAGTATCATTCTCTCATGCCTATAAGAATTCTATAAAAACAAATGCTCCTGCCTCGGTGTTATGGGATATTTTACGGTGTTGGAATAAACGCCACCCGGTCAAAGAGGAACGCATGATTGACGGAACACCCATTAAGGCCATTTTAAGCAAAGAATGTACCAGAGATTATGAATTTGATAGTATTCATCCCGAAGCCAATCCCAAGAGTCGGAAACAGGCATTATCAAGATTCCAGGCGAATCCAACACCCCATTGGGGACCGGGAACAAGGGCTACAATTATGTAAGCTAGTGTATGATTACTTTTTATACCTAGAAATTATGTTTCTTTTTTAATTTCCACAGGATTGGCGAGGATAAAATTGAAAAAAGTCATCGCAATCAAAATAAGAAACAAAAACACAAGGTACAAGATTCTAATGCCAATAATGATGAAGATGGCAATGAGCCCGAAAACGAAGAATCCCAGAAGAGTAAACAACCCAAACTTGATACCACCAATACTACAGAAGACGCTGCTATGGAGTCATGATGATAATTTAAAAAAACTTATATATTTTTATAGGAATTTTACAATGTTATATGAAATAAAATCATATCCAGATTTTTTGATGGTCAAATCAAATGTTTCAAAATGAATTTATTAGCGGAAGAAAGACGATGCTATAGAGTCTTGATAATCTAAAAAAAGTATATATTTTTTATAGCGATTTTAAAATGTTGTATGAAATAAAATCATATCCAGATTTTTGATGGCCGAATCAAATGTTTCAAACTACTTTTAATAACGGAAGAAATTGCCATCTGCTGGTTGGCGAGAATATCCATTGTTCACCAACTGGGTGTGAGGACCGCTGTTAATTAATTTAACACTGTGCGGTGAAAGTTTTTCCTTAATGCCACCTGACAAAATATCGAAAATTAAAAATTTCCAAATCCCAACATCTTCCATGCAACTTACCAATTTTCAATGGATGACCCATTTTATCAGGTGTTGGCACTTTTACATCTCGCGTATTTCGAAGCACCCGAAATGTTTGCGGCATTGGACAGCATGTCTCTGTTTGCAGTACATAATCCACGGATTCTGGAAAGTTTTCTCGCGAGTGCACATAACGCGATTGCAATTGAAAATCTAACGAATCCTTAGGGATTTGTGATGTGGCCACAAAACGTTTACTACACCGCACCGATGACAGTGTTTGGTGGTAGAATAGACGTTCATAGGGTTTTAAATTGGCATACCATTCACGGTTGGGATCAATATTGGGCGGCGATGGAAGTGGACATATTAAACGTCCCTCCCGCTCCAAATGCGGAGCATAGGAATAATTGCGTACTCTTAACATTTTTTTGGTGTTTTCGTGGTTTTTCTTTTATTTGGGACTTTAAATTTAATTGGGGCAATTGTGTTATTTTATTTAGGAGAAATGTCAAATGGTGTTTGTTTATGAAAAATAACAATAACATCGAATGTTGCTATGTAACAAAAAGTAAATGTAAAGTAAAACAGCTACACTAGAGACGTGCATTTTAAAGAGAGTTTCACGACATTTTTCTCTCAGAGCAGCACTTTTATTTAAACTACAGTTTGATTATATGTGAGCGGGAGTTACATTATGACGGTTTAGATTACTTTTAGGTTAAATCAAGTACTGCAACGGACTCCTCAAGAACCCAAGAAATGGCCAATGATACATCAAAAATTGGCCCATGGCAAAATTAAGAAGGTAAAGTAATAATAACAAGATCACTACAATTTGGATGTTCCGTATTATGGAGACTACAGCTAAATGATATATGTTTTGAAGAACTTAATCTACCCACTGAGAACTTAAATTGCTATTTTTCAGTTGACATTTTTGGAAAATAGGCACGAAACTTTGGAAGTAGCCAAAAACAATGGGGTACCATTATTTAGCGGCCAAGTAAAAAAGTAGAAGTATTTTTTGGGTGAAGCAAAACTGAGAATCTGTAAAATGAAAATTAGGAAATTTTTTGAAAATCGTCGAAGTACCCCAAATCAGGAAGTACGCTTTTATGGGTGCTATAACAAATTAGACTTAAATATTATTTTTTTGCGAGAAGTTAAACTATCCACTGACAACGCGGAATATCAAATTACAGCTGATTTGATTGGATATCGTGAACTAAACTATTAAAATATCGAAAATCTTGACGTACCGTTAAATGGGAGCTATACCAAAATGTGGACCTACAATAAATATTTTTGAAATCCGTAAAACTTTCTATCGAAGATCAAAAATATCGAATAAAAGTTGAAAAAAATCAAAAAATGTCAAAATTTTGAATAATTATAGCCCATCTAGGGTCAACAGGGTCAACGTTTTGAATATCCATGAAGCTCATAAAACGCGAAAATAATATTCGATTCTATTAAGACTTGGCAAATCTCAATATTTCCATCGACACAAGATCTGTTGTGAAGATGGTAGAGATCGGACGACTCCTTCTGGTACCTTCCCCCCAAAGGGTCAAATTTTTTGAACATACATAAAGCTCATAAAACACGAAATAAACATCCGATTCTATTCAGACTTGGCACATCTCAATATTACCAACAAAACAAGATCTGTTGTGAAGATGGTAGAGATCGGACCATTTTCTCAGGTACCTCCTCCACATAGGATTCAAGATTTTGAAAAAAAAAAACGTTTAAAGAAAGCGAAATAAAAATCCAACTCTTCAAATTACACACATACAAACATTTTTGCTAACGCAAGACCTGTTGTGAAGATGATATACATCTGCGAACCTCTTCTGATACCTCACCCACAAATGGTCACAATTTCCAATATTTTTATCTGTCATAACTTGCGAAACAAGTCTGCGATTCTTTACAACTTGCTATATCTCAATATTTCTCTTAACCAGATATTTCTCATAAAATTGGATATAAATATTCGATCTCTTTCAAATCTCGCACATACCAAGATCTGTATCTGTAGATGAAGTATGAATACGGAACACTTCGGTCCGCTATATATGTTACCTCAAGCAATATTTCTAAATATTCTAAAAATTAGCATATATCTCATATAAAGTCCAAATCAGGCACGTTGTAATATTAATATCAGTTTAGGGTAGGGCTGGGGGTATACATATGTCGGCGAAACCGAGATATATTATTTTACTTTTTTTGAATAAGTGTTCCTTTATAAAATTCCCATAAAGAATCCACTTTTATTGCCTTGAAAGGCCTTGAGACAATTTACTTAAAAAATCCATCATCATTGCCTTGATGATCTTTGATAAAATTTTCTTAAAAATCCGCGTTTATCGTCCTCATGGTCCCTGAGGAATTTTACTTTAAATATCCAGCTGTTTAGCATTGATAGTTCTCGAAGCAATTTCTTGAAAAGATCTACATTTTTGCTTTAACCGTTCCTTAAAAAAAACATCCCTCAAAACCCTACGATGATTAAATTGTTGGACCTTAAAAAAGAATTTTTAATAAATCTAGGTTTGTTGTCAAGATGAGCCTTGAAAAAATCCAAATGTTTCGCCTTCATGGTTTTTGAAAGAAATTCCATAAGAAATCCAAGATTATTGCCCTTATTGTACTAAATTTTAACACTCCAACTTTATCCATTAACCCAAAATCAGACTTTACCAATACCGTCTAGTACAGTTCTTACACTTAGTACTCATTTCCAAAAGCAATTTTTATGTATCAACCATGCTTTCTGAAACTTCATTTTCCTACCAAATTTCACGTTTTTAGCTCTATACGTTCACACAATTTCAAACGCTACCAAATTTAGTGCATTTTTTCGAATTTCCAATTTCGTCTATTCTACATAACATCAAAGAAGCTTATTCGAAATTTCTGATTTCTAGCTTTTTATCTTCCCAAAACACTGAATTTAATACTTTCGTACTTGTTGGTACGTATTTGAAAATCCCCGTTCATACATCAATCCCGCAGCACAAAAAGTGTTCAGAAAACTAAATTTAGGAATTGCAACTCTATTACTTAATATACCAAGTCTAGTGCCGTTTAGTACTTTTCGTACTTTTTAAGTACATGTTTCCATAACCACCCTCAATTCTCAACCCTATGTGTGACCCCAATATCAGCATTACGAACCTTAAGACGCATCCGTTCACCAAATCCCCATTTTGTACAGTTCTTGGAACATATTTCGACCCCATTTCAGTGCAGTAACATGACAATCCCCAATGAAGTTAAAAAATAATTTTTTTTGAGTTTATTTAAATTATTTTTTATTCAAGAAAAATAATCAATTGCAATGTATTTATATCTATTGTATTTTTTAAAATGTTTCATCCGCCTTGTTTGAATGACGCCCCTGTAAAAATCATGGAGGTTAGTAAAATATCATGCATACATACCTTGTATTTAAAAGCAAACTGAAAAGACCTTGAGCCCCAACAAATTCGAAGGGTACCTCCTTGTAGTCCATACCTCAACCATCTATGTTGCCCCGACGGATTGTTGTTACCTTTCCTATAAGTTTTACTTTGTGGGGAAAAATAATGAAATCGAGAAGGATGGACCACCAACAGAAAACAGCATAACCGCCGAAGGACTGCCGCCACACAACACACTTTCATTGAAGTTATTACATAATTAAGAGATTGAGGCTGGTGGTGGTGGTGCTGCTGCTGGATGTCTTGATCTTATTAGGTATATTGAAAACTGGAAACCTGCTAACTGATCTTGCGACAACACGAAAATGTAGAAATCTGCAGCGAACTCTCTCTCTCTAGCTAAATACAGTTAAAGAAACACCATATATTTTGTTCTGCCATTATATAGACCAGACGACCCCGACCACCGCGCCACACCATGTTAAGGGCTTTTGTTGTATGTACGATGAAACGTACGAAATGGAGTTATGTCGCCAAACAGCCACACACGCCAACGATTAATGTTATTTGAAAAATAGTTGAATCTGCTTGAAACTCGAAACCGAAGTTAGATTGATTATAGATAGGCGGCTCAGCAGCTGAAGAGCAGATGAGAAAACGGCAAACCACCTACTTAAACTGCTGACTACTCTCCTGCACACGCACAACGCTGGCGAGTGGGTTTTCTTTGGTAAAGCGAAAGGTAATATCAGGTTGTTAAGCAGCCAAGAGCCACTGATGTCGCTGCTGATTCTTCGCGTTCTCTTCTTAAATGAGAAGTAGAGTAAAAGCTTTTTGGCCGCCATAAGCAAAACGAACAAATTTACAAACGTTTCATTTGCCATATATGGCAGAGCGGCCGGTAGAAGGAAGCAGCAACATGCAAAGTGACCGCGAAAAGAGACAGCAGCCGGTAGATCAGCAGCTTAGTTCTTAGGTGATTTCAAACACACAGGTTTATATAAAGCAGCAACAGCAGCAAACGCCACACAAAACAGCTTGCTTCACCCACACCATTTTATTGCGGCTAATGCCCACCAACATCTCATCATACTCCTTCTTTCTCCTCCTCTCCTAATACTTATATATTTCACATTTTTTAAAGATTTTTTCATTCAGCCTGCCTGTCTGCCTTTTTCACATTTCACATTCTGCTCTGCTTTAAAAGAACAGCCAACATAAACCGCTTTTATATGCCTGTATTGTATATAAAATTTTGAAAATTATTAAATTGCATATTAAAAGCATAAACAAAAAAACAAAGGAGAGAAAGGGCAATAGTGTAAATAAAAAGAAAGTTATATAACACAAAACGTTTAAAAAAAAAATGGAATTTTCTTCTTATCTTTCCCTCATTTATCTATAATGGTTACATTATTTTCATTTAACCTATCATCAAGTCCTTGGGTCTTGCAATACTCATATGTAGCATTATTATATTTATTAGTTAAACATGTATGTGTGTTTTTATTACAACTAATAAAAACTACAACTACCCTTAAATGCCTAATCCTACCCATATGAATTCAAGAGAAAACTTGTTGCGTGGATGGTGTAATAACAAACTCAAAATACGTTGATTTCTTTTTGAAATATGATTAATTTTATCTTAGATTGATTTTTTATAATGCAAATTATTATGATTATTTGTATGTTATGTATTTGTATGATGGATTTTTTTGAGACTACTACTGTATATTGTATTGTGTTTATTTATATTTTACAATTTTTATATCAAGATCAAAATGAGTTTGAAATATCAATTACATCCCAATATGGATGAATTTTCGTTATAATAATTTTGACATTGAAAATTTTGTGGATGGCGGGAATTAGTTGAAAAATGAAATATATAGAATGAGATGATGAGCGTTTTACAAAATAATAAATGTTATAAAGGAGAAATAAAAACTTCAAATAATTCATGTAGAGCAAAAAATGTTTAAAAAACAAACAAACATACTTTTTATATGCAGTAAAATGTTGTACATGTTTTGTTTTCTTCTTGAATTATTTATGCTATGTTTTTTTCACATCATATCTTTTTCTTTCTCTATTATAAGAAAATTATTTTTTCTTTTTGTTTTAAAGTTCTATTAATATGTAGGTATTTAGAAAAAAACAAATTACGCTTTGTTTTCTTGATTACTATTCTGTTACCATAGTTAAAATTAAAAATATCTTGTGTTTTCTAAATTAAAGATTTGTTTTGTTATACCTGCTGATACAACAGCAACATAGTATGGAGCTAAAAGTTATTGGAAATTAGTTGTCTCCCCTCCTTTTGCAGCCGCCAATAAATTTAGGGTTGTGGTTTAGGGATATCTGAAATCAAACAAAGATAGTTGAGTGAGTATAATGGACGATTCAAAAATGTTTTAATTATAGAAAATAATGACAAATTAATCGGAAGAAGTAAAAAAAGGTTGTAAGTTCGGCCCGGCCGAACCCTCTACCACTTAGAAAGAATTTGGCAATTAAAAAAAAAAGATCCGTTAAAAATTCTGTAAAAAATACGACGAGATGAAAAAAAAAAGAAAAAATCGGTGAATATTGTAACAAAGATCATCAAAATACCGAATATCGGGAGGTATCGTTATATGGGGGCTATACGAAGACGTGAACCTGACACAGACAATTTTCTGTCTTAGGTTGCAGTATCCATTACGAACTTCAAATACCATACTTCAAACAATTCCGGTGAACAATGTTGCTTAAATCATCAAAATACCGAATATTGGGAGGTACTACTATAATGGGGCTCTACAAAGACGTGGAGCTGCACTGACAATTTTCTGTCATAGGCTGTAATATCCATTACGAACTTCAAATAGAAAATTTAAAACAATTTCGGTAAATAATGTCGTTAAAATCATCAAAATACCGAATATCGGGAGGTACGGTTATATGAGGGCTATGTGAAGACGTGGACGGTCACATACAATTTTCTGTCTTAGGCTGCAGTATCCATTACGAACTTCAAATACCATACTTCAAACAATTCCAGTGAACAATGTCGCTTAAATCATGAAAATACCGAATATTGGGAGGTACTACTAAAATGGGGCTCTACAAAGACGTGGAGCTGCACAGACAATTTTCTGTCATAGGCTGTAGTATCCATTACGAACTTCAAATACTAAATTTGAGACAATTCCGGTGAATAATGTCGCTTAAATCACCAAAATACCGAAAATAGAAAAAATAAGGATTTATTATATGGGGGTTATACCTAAACGTGGACCTACATGGCACATTTTCGATATCAGAAGTCCTGAAGACATGATATACATTTGAGTACAATACAGATGAATCGGACGGACATCGCAAAAATGTATATTTCGAGGTGTAGCAAACGGAATGACAAACTTAATATACCCTCCATACTATGGTGGAGGGTATAAATGGATCCCTTTTTGAAACAGGTCCTGTCAACAAACCAAATACAATTGTGGGCAAATATTTTGTAAGCCCTTATGAATCTTCAAATTATTTTATGCTAACCAATAAGGCCTAAATTGGCACCCCATGAAGAATGAAAAATGAAATTAATCCAATTTTGGTGGACAAGTCCTGGCTTCAATTAAAAAATATATCCTTAAAAACAAAACCATAAATCATTAACTTACCTTCATTTGCACTGTTTTGTTTGTGCATTTTCATTGACACATTATTTTTCATATGTTCTACTGCGACTACGTGATAAACTTCGTCCTCGATCGGCAATGCCACCCAAACCGGCACTTGATAAGCCATTACGGCTATCGCTACGGCTTAGGGAACGTCTGACGGGACTGCGAGAGAATTTAGTGCGTCTCACTGGTGATCGACTTTGTGGTGAACGCGAACGTGAATATGAACGACGACGGGGGCTGCGTGAACGGCGACGTACGGGTGAACGTGAGCGACGACGACCGCCGCCACCACCACCACCTCCACGACGACCATTGTTGCGGCGATTGTTATTGCTAGGTGATGTGGGACGACCATAACGTGCCATTTGGACACGCAACTCCCTGCCATCTAATTTACGACCATCCATAGCTTCCAAAGCTTCTTCGGCATCACGTTTGTCATAAAATCTACAATGATAAAATATTTAATAGATTATTAATTAAAAGAAATTAGATTAGATTATTAATTAATGTAAACAAAAGAAAAATATTGTAGATTTCGTACGTAGGTCATCTAGTAATTATTTGGTAGACAACAGTTGCAAATTGAAAAACAATTTTTATAGCACCTTTCTGCAAATGTAATCTTCACTAATATATATAAAAGACTACAGTGGAAAAGCAGATAGTGCAAAAAGAACTACAAAACAAATCTATTGGCCAATTTATGAGATATTGAGTCAATCCACTGCCTGAATTAGAACTGAATAATTCGACACCATGGCCGGTAGTACCTTCTGCCGCCTGTGTGTACAATAAGGCGGCATATATGGTATACATACACAAAACAAAGTGCAAAATTAAGGCGTAAATAAATGAGGTGGTTAGTTGCATCTACCGCTTTGGTATTATTTTCCTTCAAATTTTACATAATTTCTGCAGATATTTACTTATAATCAATCTACACAAAACACAAACAATAAAATGTGGCACTTACCTAACAAATGCAAATCCCCGGCTTTCACGGGTGTAACGATCGCGTGGAATATAAATGTCACCAACATCGCCACAACGTTCAAAGACACGTCGCAAATCTTCTGGAGTTGTACGATATGTTAAATTATCAACCTGGAAAGGAATATTTGTAAAACAATATTATCATCATTCGGCGACCATGTGAAAAAAAGTAATCTTATATCTGAAATGACGCCATCTTGTTTTTACACCAACAAGGCGTCGTCATCATCACCCATTATCTCAACTGATAACCCTTAAAAACTCCAAATTCGACTTACCTTTAAAGAAATCATACCATCAATACGTGGTGGTGGACGTCCTCCATTGCTGTTTCCACTCATTCTGCTGCTACGACTGGTCATACAAATTTACCCAATAAAATTTTTTAATTGGAAATGTGGTATCCTAATAAAACCGTGGCACGGTACTATATTAAATATGGCGGATGTGACAGCTGCCGAATGCTGACCCTACACTTCACAGAAAAACACGTCCACACGGCAAGAAAAATTAAATGCAAATGAACGATGATAGGTAACTCGACTTTCGATTAATCGTCTAATCGACTTTTAGTACTCAAAGTTCTGATAGTCATAGTCGACTTTGGACTGTGGTGAAAACCAAATAATCGACTAATAATAATCGATTTTGCGACTCTTTGGTGCATTTTAAAAACAATTAATTTAAAAATGTAAAAACGTTTCCAACTTTGGATTACTTTAAGAATCAGAATCGGTTCTTTGGAATTTGGGAACGTTATCAAATACTCCGTTGCTACTTATATAACATGTAAATGAATGAATTCTCTCACAACTCTGATAAATAGGGATGAGTAGATCGACTATTGAATAATAATAATGTAAAAACAATTCCATCTCCGGATTACTTCAAGAATCAGAAGAGTTTCTCTGGGATCATAGTACATTATTAAATGATTCGCCGCTACTAATATAACATACAAATGAATGATTTCTCTCACATTCCTCATAAATACGCCAATCGGAGGTTGTTATAATATGCATTTTTTAACAATATTTACACATTTGAGTATTTTTTCGATTCCAAAATTGGTTTGACAGTTCAATGTCCCAGCAGCTGTGTCGAAGCGTCTACCTATATTCTTCTACCATGGATTATCGACAGTTTGCTCACCTAAACTGATGTTTACACAGAACATATTGTCTTTAGTTAAAACTCTAATTAAGTACCACATGCCAATTGAGACGACTGTTTTCATCACCGTTTATCACAGTAAATACTGCGCATGGTAGAAGAATATTGGTAGTCGCATCGATAGAGCTGCTGTAACAATGAACTGTCACAACAATTTTGCAATTAAAGATTTTGAAACTCGTAAAAAAGGGTTGAAAAAGGCATATCATAACAACATCCGCTTGATGTCGTATAAGAAAACATATAAAAATCTACTTATTTTTGAAGATAAATTTTAAAAATTTTGACATATCAATGTTCCCAAGTAGTGTATTCTTCTGCCATGATACTGCGTTACATCGACAGCTAAATACGTCATTTATTTGGCGTTTATGCAAAGGAATAATAAAACAACGGCGGACTTAAGCTGCAAGTACATAAGAAGCTTGAAGTCATGGCTAGGCATATTTTGTAACATTTCATAAAGGGAGTACAGAGCCGCACTAAAATCCTGCCGTCGTTATCCATTATAACTTGACATTAATATGCCTAGCATTGACTTCAAGCCTTTTATGTACTTGCACCTTTATTCTTTCCGCTTGTGTTAATTTTTTGTATGTTTTTTAGGCAAAGGAGGTTAAATGTGGGTCTGTTCCAGTACCTGCTGATTCTTGCAGTTTTGCGATTTTTTTTTTCGATTTTATAAAGGGAATTCGGTTATCGTAGCAAAAAACTTAACATTCTTCCAGTTCTGGAACAGAGCATATGTAAATGGCCTTAATACGGTAACCCATGGCACAATCACAGAAGGTAGAACAAAGTAGGAGGTAGCTTTGCAATGTTTTTCTCTTGGTGGCCTTATTCTTATTTTGGGATAAAAGTGTATTGTCATACTATCTTAGATTTAATATTATGGAATAGCCACAAAATTCCATTCTTGTTACGCGGATTTCCCCCATAATAAGATTTTTGTTAAAAAATGAAAAACAAAGTCATTGAACAAAGTTACTGAAATTGCAATGAGAACATATCATAAACAGAAATATATAATCATTATTATTGATTTGATGTATAGCCTGATGACTTTACCAGTTATGACATCGATATTTGATTATCCATAAAAAATAGTCATCGATTGTTTTTTTCCAATGTGATTTCATCAAATAGTCGATTACAATTATGCCGAAACTCGATTGAAGTGTCCCTATTTCCTATCTGCGTGGCTATTGAAATTGTGCTGCTGGTGGATAATTTTGAATTGTGTTCAATACTTTTTTTTACAATAAATACCATCAGGATAGACTTTTATTCTTCAATTTTACACCCGTAACTACTCATTCAGTGAACCAGTTCGTACACATTGTGATATTTAGTCACAAAAAAGAAGCAACAGAACACGCAGTCCAAGAAGAAAATTCCTTTGTCGTCGTCAGTTGAGTGAAAAACGTGATTTTCGCGTAACCGAGACAGGGAAAAGAAAGTGTGAAATTCATAAAAAAGAAGTGTGTGAATGCAATAGAGAGGGGCCGCTTTGAAAAAGTTTGGATCGGTGTGTGGCGTGTGTTATTTTTCGCAAGTTGGGTCTGTTACAACATTTAGTTTGCGATAAAAATTACAAGCGCCCCATTGAAGGTTATATTTTTTTGGATTGGAATTCTCACGGGGCGAGCGAGCGAGCGAGTGAACGACGAACGGACAAATCAACCGGAGAAGTAGTGTTGTGTGAGAGAACGAACTTGTGTTGTTGTTGTTACGTGTGCATGTTTGAGTGCGCGTAGAGAAGTTAACCAACCGGAGTGTACCGCCTCAATCCAAGTGTCGGACGAAGTTAAAATTTGAAAACAGCAAAGAAAGCAGAAATTCGACAAAAAAAAAGTAAAGTAAAAAAGTTATACAAGCAAAATGGCTCAAGAAAACTCCGATATGTCCACAAAATTCTCCACACTAAATGTCAATGCTGCGGAATTTGTACCGAGCTTTGGCAGCTTCAGTGCGGCCGTTGTCAGTTCTATAAATAATGACAACAGTGCGCCGGCTGCTGCCACCATTGCTGCTCCCATGGATACAACCAGCGTGCCAGCCTCTACCAGCGGCACTCCTGCCACCACACCTAATTCGGATGCATCCGCTTCGGGTTCCCTGAATGCACTTAGCCAGGCGGCGGCCGGTGAGGTTGCACCAGCGGAATCTCCAATGCAAACGTCACCAGTGAAGGTTGCTGCACCTGTGGAAAACATCAATACAGCCGATAAAATTGCAGCTAATAATGGTAACATATTTTTTTGGAATGAAATTAGATATTTAAAGCGAGGGGGGCTTTGTGGGGGGTACTTACTGAAACATAGTTGGGTAGTGTTGTGGGGGTAGTGCATAGGCAATGGAAAAAAAAAATGACGTCATGACTAACCAGTAATCTATTGTCACAGATGTTGGAGGTCTTCGCCTCTTTTGCATTTTTTGCATGTTGTTATTGTTTGTGTGTTACTTTTTTCTTCTTCACAAACAGCCACGGTGGGGTTGGCCATTAGCCACTAGTTGTATGTCATTGATTCATGAGTCGGACGGTCGGTGGTCTGGTCTACCTTTCGGCAGTCACAGATACTCTTGTGTTTTCACTTTTTCATTCAATACTTTTAATTTTTTTTGTTTTCGATATAACCTCAAAAACTACGTGCAGAGTGGCATTTAAGAAAAATACTGACTGGCGGTGATGACTGGGGGTTTTCCATGGCTTTTGTGTAATGCAAAACAAAATTTTGTTATTAATTTATAAACGAAATCAATCTTTCTTTTCTTGAGTTTTACCTTTCCATGTGTTTTTGTTGCCCTGCTTTGTTTGTTGTTGCTCCCAAACATATTTTTGCTTGTTTTTTTGTTGTTCTTTCCGAATCCCCAATCAAAGTAATCTCATTTCTCTTTTGTTTGTTTCTCTTATTTCTTGAGCGAGGGGGGGAGAGCTCATTTTTACAGTCTGCTTTTGCTTTTCTTCGTCGTTTTCTTCATTTACTTGCTTTTGTATTTGTTGACACGTTAACTTTTTTTGATTGCCATTGAATTTGATCCAATAATTGAATTTGTTAAATTAACAAATGGGACACTTGAGGATTACAGAGTAAATGCTGCACTGAAATATTGAAGTTTTTTTCTGTAAACGAAGTAAAAAATTTCTCACTCATAGCTGTGAGTAAAAGTTAAAATCTGAAGGTAGATCTTTCCCCCTGATTCGGAGAATGTAATTTCATTAGACACTGTTCCCAAATAAAAAAAAACTGGGTTTGGAAACTGGTTTACTGAACCTGTGGCAATATCTAAGCAACAAGTGGCGACGTGATTGGAGAATGTTAGTCAGGGTGTATTAAAATTGTCTTTCCGTTACAACACCTCTTAACATTTTTCGGAGGTCTTATGAAGTAAATATTTGCATGATCAGAATAAAAATCTTTAAGGATTTAACTATGTCCGCGTGTCCATTTTTCTGTATGTTGAAATTGTGGCAGAGATCGCACTATGATAGATGAAGTCCGAAAATTTCACAGGCTGGAATTAGAGGAGGATTTTTGCTTCTAGGTTTCGGCCAATAAAATAAATTGGAAGCAACTCTAGTTTAGTAAAAACTCTTCGATTTTTTTTCGAAAAAGTTTCCAGGGGTAGATATATTTACCCTAATTCCGGGAAAATATTTTTTCTTGAGGGGACTGACCCGGGACCCCAGATTTTTGAGGCGAAAGTCCGGGTTCAAGACCCGGATCCCACTTATCTGATATAGACAATATAGGTATCTTTGTAAAGCTTATGAAATTACCTATCCAACAACTGGCCATATGACGATTCGGAAGTTATAGTCAGTTATAGTTATATATAGCCCGGATTTTTATAAAACCCCCAAAAAGTCCAAAAATAGGTCCGTCAACAAAATTGTTGCTAAATTATAGCTAACACTCTTACATTTCCAAAATGCGTCAAGTTGTGCTAATAGCTTTTTCGGATCCAGATTATCTAAATTTGATTCTTTTTGATTTATACCTCCAAATATTTAATGAATACCCACTTTGTGGTATTGCCCTCTTATAATTTTTCATCCTAATATTCCTCATTTCGAAGAGTTTGGAACCAATTTCCAAAACATTTAAGCTGTAATTTTGAATTTCGGTTTCTCCACAGGTATAAAAATTGCTTGCACTGCTTGAACTACATAAAAGTACCTCCCAAATCAGCTATTATTTGATTCTTAAAGTCCTCAGTGATTAAACTCATTTCTAAAAAAATATTCAATATTTCCACAACGATACTTTCTGTTTTCGCTATTTTGAATATTCCAGTCCCTTCCTTCGGGACTATTTTGTGGGGATTAACCCCTTAAAAATATTTAAATTCCCAAATTTGAGGTGTTTTGAGGGTTATAAAAAATCGGGCCCTCGATAAATTTTAATTTGAAGATAACTCTGTTTCGAATACGTTCATAATCAAGAAACTTAGGGCCCAACCAAAGCTGCTTGTCTCGTTTTGGATTTTAATTGAAAGTAGAGACTTCTCTCACAGACAAATGTATAGGTACGTGCCTGATCGGCCGCTCTATTCTTCAGTGTTTCCTACAAGAAAGTGCACACAATTTTGAGTTCCTTGAATATTACGTTAGATTTCGGATGCTTGGCTAGAGCATATGATCGCATACATCCCAAAAAGAAACACAGAAAAAAGGATTTCCAAATAGTCAATGTATAGTTTGCGAACGCTTTTAATGATTTTTATACCCTACACCACATAGTGGTAAGGGTATTATGTCTTTGTGCATTTGTTTGTATCATGGAGAAGGAAGCGAGCTGGACCCATAGCTACTTTTAAGGATCTTCATTGAAAAACTTTCTAAGTCGATTGCATGTCAGTCCGTCTGTCCATGTATTTTTGTGAACAAAGTGCAGGTCGCATTGATTATCCGATTGAGATGAAATTTTCCAAACAATTTTCAAATGTTTGGCTCAAGGACGAACCCTATTGAAATTGAATTAGATTAAGATATAGCTCCCATATATCTTCAACCCATTTCGGGTTAATTGTGCACCAAATGGCTAATATAAGTCCAAATGTCCTGAATTTTGGCACATCAAACCGATTTCAGTTCAGAAGAGAGTACATCAGATTTGAAAATCGGTTCAGATATAGCTATAGCTCCCATGTATGTCTTTCATCCGATTTGGTGTTTAAAGTCCCTCACATTCGTAATATGCACTCACAATGATATTTGGTACTAGATATCAGATTTAGCCCAGAAATTGTATCAAGATCGGTTCCAATGTGGATATATGTAGGTCCCATAAATATCTTCAACCGAATTCGGGTTAATTGTGCACCAAATGATTGATATAGGTCCAAATGACCTGAATTTTGGCATATCCAACCGATTTCAGTCTAGAAGCAAGTACATCAAAATTGTATGTTACATCCGATTTGGTGTTTAATTCCCTTACATTCGTAATATGCATTCGACAATAATGATGTTTGGCAGCAGATATCTTATAGAGCTCTGAAATGCATTTGTCAAATTTTATCGAGATCGGCTAAGATTTGGATATGGCTCCCATATATATCCTTAATCCGATATTAGGTTTATTGTGCAAAAAATGACTAATATCTGCCCAAATGGAGTGAATTTCGGACTTACGTTTCCATTTTGTAGAACTCGGTTCCGTAATATATCTTTTTAATATAATCCTTCTCTATAGCAATGTTAAAGATTAAAATGTCTCCGTCAAATTTAGTGAAAATCGATTCAGAATTGGATATGCCTCTCATATATTAGTTTCCTCTGAAACCAAACTATAACTGCTTTAAAGCCAAACGTTGATAGATGATACGATCTACTTCAAATAAATTCTTTGGTTACGGAGCTCTACTAAATATGTAAAGTGGTGTAGGGCATCATATAGTCGGCCCGCCCGATTTTTGACTTTTCCCTACTGGCTGCGTCCTGACGAAGAATATCTTTCTGATCTAATCCATAGCCATTTGAGACCTTTGGGAAAAATTGTCAAGGTCATAGGCTCCACCTAAGGTATTTAAGAAGGATATTGTAACACACACAAGAGCCCAGCGGTCTGTCTGAATATCGAGAATATTGAGAGTTGGCAAACACTTTTTTGTACCCAAGTTACGATCGTATGCCTAATATCATTGAATTTCTCAAAACTAAGACGATCTGACACCTGAATATTTTCCTTATATTCAGAGAGCTACTTGTGCTACTTGTTATTTAGCTAATATCATATCAAACAAACATGCTTTTGTTTGTTGGTAGCTGCTTAACTAAATATTTTTTTACCAGTTTGGTGGGCAACTACTACTACTACTCGGTCGGTCAATAAACATATGTGAAATGTTTGTCGATTCCACTTAAATACCACGGTATACAACCAGTCCAGCGACCATTCCACTTAATAGCATGACTAGAAGAAATGTTTACGATGAAGCCATATGGCATGTTTCCTTCAGCTCCAACTATTCTGGTGTTCAACGGATTATTACTTACTCTTCATTGCACAAATGTGTGTGCGTGTTCCCATGTAAATATGTACAGTGATTGGGTAAAATTTCAAAATTTATTTCAAAAGGAAATTTTAATTTTAATGGTTCAATTTTGAGGTTTGACTCTGGAATTTGTGTTCGGCCTTTGTGATTATGAAAAGCTAAGGGTTCAATATTTTCTATTAAGAAAAAAATGGATTTGATAGGGCGGAGCAAACAATATATATCCTGAATTTTTGTCTATATAACCATTTTATATAACATATTTGTGTCCGATTTTCTGGCAGGTGAATATTTTTGAGTACTCCTGTTACAATTTGAAAAAAATATGTTTTTGGAAAGGATGTGCAATATTTGCATTCATCCTCTTATTTTGTAATTGTTTTCGCCTTTTTAAGACAAAGTCCTCAAGTCCTCAATTTTTAAAATAGCTTTCATAGACCTTTATAGGCCTCAAATCGTAGGGTTTAAAAATATCCCAAGTTGTGTAGTTTTTTTTTTTTTCTCCTTAAAGTCTCAGGTCGCTAATTTGTATACCCTCCACCATAGTATGGAGGGTATATTAAGTTTGTCATTTCGTTTGTAACACCTCGAAATATACATTTTAGACACCACAAAGAATATATATTCTTGATCAGCATACAATTCTATATTAATTTAGCGATATCCGTCCGCCTGTGGAAATCACTCTTGCTTTCGAACGAAATGAAGTAGGTTGATAAAATTTTACTCATATATTATGTCAGGACGTTTGGTATTTGTTATTTTGGTATAGCCCCATGTAATGGTACCTCCATATTTTCGGTATTTTGATGATTTTAGCGACATTATTCACCGGAATTGTTTCAAATTTGGTATTTGAAGCTCGTAATGGATACTACAGCCTATGATAGAAAATTGTCTGTGCAGGTACACGTCTTCGTATAGCCCCCATTTAACGGTACCTCCCGATTCACCGGAATTATTTCAAATTTGGTATTTGAAGTTCGTAATGGATACTACAGCCTATGATAGTAAATTCTCTGTGTAGGTCCACGTCTTCGCATAGCCCCCATATAATGCTACCCCCTTTCCAAATTCGGCATTTTTATGATTCTAGCGACATTATTCACCGAAATTGTTTCAAATTTGGTATTTGGAGTTCGTAATGGATACTACAGCCTATGACAGAAAATTGTCTGTGCAGGTCCCCATTTTGGTAAAACCCCCACATAATGATTCCTCCCTATTTTCGGCAATTTGGTGATTTATGCGACATTATTCCTTGAAATTGTTTTCAATTTGTTATGTGAAGTTCGTAATGGATACTACAGCCTAAGACGGAAAAATATCTGTGCAGGTCCACGTTTTCGTATAGCCCCCATATAATGGTACCTCTCTATTTTCGGCATTTTGATGATTTTAGCTACATTATTTACAGATTTTTCTTTTCAAGTTTCGCATTTGAATATTGTAATGACTAATGACAAAAGTTGCACAGGAAGGTCCACGTCGTCGTATAGACCCTAATATAACTATTTCTACACTCAGTATTTTTAAGATTTTAACAGAATTTTTAAGGGATTTTATTTTTTTGAAAATTGCCAAATTCGTTCCAAATGGTGGATGGTATTCAAATTTCGGCCCGGCCGAACTAACCTCTTTATACCCTACAACACTATGTGTTGGGGGTATTATAAGTTTGATTGGGCCAAAAATTATGTAACACCTCGAAATATTGATTTCCCACATAGGAAAGTATATATGGATCTTCCTATCTCGCCGAGTTGAGTCGATCTAGCTATGTATGTCCGTCCGTCCGTCTGTCCGTCCGTCTGTCCATGTTAATTTGTAATCACTCTACAGGTCGCAATTATGGCCCGATCTTCACGAAATTTAGAATGGAGGTGGGGTTAAGGTCAGAATAGAACCCTATTTCTTTTGGAGATGATCGCATAATATTTAGGGGTCGAAATGGACCAAAAAACTGAAAAAATGTCGGATTTTGCAGTAGCTATACAGGTCGCAATTATAGACCAATCGACGCGAAACTTCGCATGTAGCTAGAGTTTACGGCGGGGAAGAAGCCTACCAATTTGGGTGGTCATCGGATAATATTTAGCGGGTGAAATAGACCATATCTTTTGTGTTGAAAAAATTCAAAATTTTACATTAAACCGCGAATATTTTAAATCCCGGCAAAATCACAAAGCCATGACAAGGTAACTTCTGACCTTTACATTGATGTTAACATCCAACAAATCGGATATATAGCGAAATATGTGCGATATATATGTCTATCAAAGAAGATATGCTTGAAAGATCTCTTATATGTTGAGAACGGCTGAACTGATTTCGACAGTTCTCATTTATTCAGAATGGCCTCTTGGAAGGAAAGAAACAACGTCTAACAATTCGCATAAAAATATCTCCCTAAAGATTAAAATATTGATTTTGTAAAATTTTCTCATATTTTTTTCAATTTTGTCATATTTTTGACATATTTTCATTTTGAATTAAACATTTGGTAATATCTCTACAGCTAACAAAACTAAGTAGTTAGGATATCAGGATATCATATACAGATCGCATTTATGGCCCGATCCTAACGAAATTTTGCATGGGGATCAGATGAGGGTCAGAATAGAAGCCTACTCTTTTTGGAGATGATCGCCATATATTTAGGGGTTGAAATGGACCAAATAACTGCAAAATTGTCAGCAGGTCGTAATTATTGCCCCATCCTCACGCACATTTGAATGGGGGTTATCGGGCATTGCAAAAGCCAAGCAGTTTTGGATGGCCATCCAAAAATATTCAATGTGTGAAATAGTTTGCCAACTTTTGTAGACAAAATACGAAAATGACCATTCCAGTGACTTCTTGGAGAATTCACAAATACAGGAAAGACGCACTTCTGACTATTTCGTTAAAGCTGATTTCGTTGAAGAATATAGTCAAATATCTGTATCTCATATAGATGCGTTTCAGTCAAAAACCAATAATAAATGTTAATCTTTTGCCACTTCTGAGATATTATAGGTCTTTGGGAAATATTGGTTCCAGATCTAAGAAGACCATTTACGTGCAACATGTTCCAATAAATTGGAAATGAGCAAATTAGTTTAAGTTGCTATTATTCTAAAATTAGAGAACGAAACCTTATGGTTTTCTTTTATTATTTGTCACAATATCTTGTGGAATTCTTTCGAGTATCTCGCCTATATAAACTGTATCGTTTATTATAGTGTTGTAGGGTATTCAACGGTCGGCCCCGCTCGACTGTAGCCTTTGCTTACTTGTTTTTACATGTTTTTAATAAATTTTCCTCGTTTTTATTTCTTTTATTTTCTTTTTACGGGCGCAAGTCTAGTATTTTTTTAAGTATTTTCATTGTTCTTTTAACGTCCCAAGTCATCGATTTTTATGGTTCTCCTTCAAATATTGAATTTTTAGTTTTTTTCTTAAATCGAGGTTTTTAATACGAGACATTTAAAATATTTTCAAAATTTTCGAAAATGTTTTGGTCTGTCCAAGGCCCTAAATCGTTGCATTTTTGAAGAATTCTCATAGTCCAGTCACAGAATATGTAAAAAATATTTATCGCTCATTCAGATTCTTAAGTCGTATTTTTTCGGAAAATAAAATACTTTCTAAGTCTTGGGATTTTAAAACAGGCATTCCGCGGGTTTTCCTTTTTTCGAATTCTAAAGGAATAAATTTTTTACTTTCTCTAAAAAGAAATAAATATTTGAATACAAATCTAATCTACAAGTATTAATTGCGTAATATTTTTCTATAGAAAACGATCCTGCCGACAGCTGGGATGTTGAAGAGGAACCCGTTATTACTCCCGATGATGAAGAAGCTGAAGATATTGAAGAAGTCGAAGGTGATGCCACACCAAAGGTGTCAAAGAAAAAGATACCAAAGGTAGAAGACACAAAGAGCAAAAAAGAACATGTCAATGTTGTTTTCATTGGTCACGTTGGTAAGTTTTAATAATAAAAACTGAAATTCGCCAGCCAAAAATAACACTATTTATTTAATTTCCGATAGATGCTGGTAAATCAACAATTGGTGGCCAAATTATGTCCCTAACTGGCATGGTCGACAAACGTACACTGGAAAAATACGAACGTGAGGCACGTGAAAAATCTCGTGAAAGTTGGTATCTCTCATGGGCCTTGGACACAAATCAAGAGGAACGTGACAAGGGCAAAACCGTTGAAGTCGGTCGGGCATATTTCGAAACAGAACGTAAACATTTCACCATTTTGGATGCTCCTGGTCACAAAAGTTTCGTACCAAATATGATTGGTGGTGCGGCACAGGCCGATCTGGCCGTTTTGGTTATATCGGCGCGAAAAGGTGAATTTGAAACTGGTTTCGATCGTGGCGGGCAGACACGTGAACATGCTATGTTGGCCAAAACAGCTGGTGTCAAACATCTGGTTGTACTCGTCAATAAAATGGACGATCCAACAGTCAACTGGGATGAGGCACGCTACAACGAATGCAAAGACAAGATCCTACCTTACCTCAAAAAATTAGGTTTTAATCCAGCCAAGGATTTGACCTTTATGCCATGCTCAGGTTTAAGTGGAGCCGGTTTACGTGATACTATACCCGATACAATTTGTCCATGGTACAATGGCCCAGCCTTTATACCATTCATTGATCAGTTGCCTTCACTTAATCGCAAAGCCGATGGACCATTCATTATGCCCATTGTTGATAAATACAAGGATATGGGTACGGTTGTAATGGGCAAGGTTGAGTCGGGTACTGCGCGAAAGGGCCAGAATTTGTTGGTGATGCCTAATAGGGTAAGTGGGTGATTGAAACCATTTCCTTATAGAGAAGTGTTTTATAAACTTTTTTTATTTTTTTTATAGACACAAGTTGCTGTTGATCAACTTTGGTCTGATGATGATGAAGTCACCTCTGTGGGTCCTGGTGAAAATGTCAAAATCAAGCTGAAGGTTAGTAGCTGATTTTTTCATAGTTCTGTTGGGGTTTAATTGCTAATGATTTTATTTTTGTTTTGATTTTTAGGGCATTGAAGAAGAAGATGTCTCACCTGGTTTTGTATTGTGCGATGCCTCTAATCCTATTAAAACTGGCAAAATATTTGATGCTCAAGTCGTTATCTTGGAGCATAAATCAATTATCTGTGCCGGTTATTCGGCCGTCATGCATATACATTGTGCAGCTGAAGAAGTTACCGTTAAAGTAAGTTTTTGAGTTTTCATTCAAAGATGAACTTGCCATTTTTTTTCCAAACCTATTTAATTGTTTTGTCGTATTTGAAAACCATTGTTCTCCAACAGTTATTGTCTAGAAATATATATTTGAAATTTAGATAAAATCGATTCATCTATATCTGCAGCCAATATTTATAGATGACAGAAGCTCGAAGGCTAAAATGTGCATTTAATATCAAATATCTGAAACGTTTCTCTTGAATTCGGCTCAAATTTAATTCCAGCTCCCAACAATATTCCACCGTTTTGTATACCCTCAGCCATATGGCGTGTCTAGTCGAAATAACGGTTTTAGACTCTAGGTCTCTTTGCATCAAAGTTTAGGGACATTTGGAGTCGATCTAGCGATGTCAGTCCGTCCATCCGCCCGTCTGTCTGGCTGGCTGGTGTGCACGAAAACTCTCGAAGGGAGTATCTGATTTGATCCAAACTTGGTACATCGTAATATTATTGTCCAACTTAGATCGAGTTGGGAGATGGGCAATATCGGTCCACTCCTTCTGGTACCTCCCCCAGAAAATGTCAACATTTTTAAAGAAAATAATCAACCTCTCAGAAAGAGAAAGGATAATCCGATTTTGATACAACTTTGTAAATCTCAATATTTGCATCAGTGCTAGGTCTTGTGCGAAAATGGACAATATCGGTCCACTCCATTAAGTACCTTCCCCACAAAGGGTCAAAATTTTGAATAATTATAACTCTTATAAAATGTGATGTGAGTGTTCGATTGTCTTCAAATTACACACATCACAATATTTTTATTATCCCAAGGTCCAGTGTGAAGATGGAATATATCGGTCCACACCTTCTGGTACCCCCCACACAAAATGTCAAAATTTTCAAAGAAAATAATTTTTTGTACACAAAGAGAAAGGATAATCCGATTTTGCTCCAACTTTGCGAATCCTAATATTTTCATCAGTGCTAGGTCAGGTGCGAAAATGAACAAAATCTGTCCACTCCATCAGGCACCTCCCCCACAAAGTGTCAAAATTTGGAATAATTAAAACTCTTAAAAATGTGATGTAAGTTTCCGATTATCTTCAAAGTACACACATCACAATGCTTTTATTAATCCAAGTTCTGGTGTGAATATAGAATATATCGGTTCAGTCCTTCTGGTACCTCCTCCACAAAGGGTCTAAGTTTTGAATATTTATGAAGCTTATAAAACACGAAATTAACATCCGATTCCATTCAGACTTGGCACATCTCAATATTTCCATCAACACAAGATATGTTATAAAGATGGTGGAGATCGGACTACCCCTTCTGGTACCTCCCCCACATAGGATTCAAAGTTTTAAATAATCAAAACTATCATAAAATCCGAAATAAGCATCCGGTTCTCTTAATATTTCACACATCCCATTATTTCTACTAACACAAGATCTGATATGAAGATGGTAGAGGTCGGACCATTGCTTCTGGCACCTCCCCCACAAAGTGTCAAAATTTTGAATAATATATGTTTTGAAATATATATGTTTAGTGTGGTACTTGAATTCCCGTCCCAAATGTATCTGACAGATTCATAGGATGCACAAATGTCTGATACTTTTCGTTATTGTTTTTAAATTAATTTTTGTTTTTTTTTCATTGCAGGCCCTCATTTGCTTGGTTGACAAAAAGACCGGCGAAAAATCAAAATCACGTCCAAGATTCGTTAAGCAAGATCAAGTGGCAATTATGAGAATTGAATGTTCCGGTATGATTTGTTTAGAACAATTTAAACTATTCCCACAAATGGGAAGATTTACTCTGAGAGATGAAAGTAAGTTAAATTTATACATTTATCAGATTTGATTTGAAATAATGAAATTATTGTTATTATTTCTTTTTCCAGACAAAACAATTGCTATTGGCAAAGTGTTGAAGGTGATCGAGTAAATTGAGCCAAGCTTAATTTTTTTTGTAATTTTAATTTTCTTGAGTGCTTCAAGCCCCGCCTTTTTTAAAAGAAAAAACAAAATAACATGAAATTTATAAAAACAAAAATCAACATTAACATCTAATTTTAAAAAGTAGGCTTTTTAAGCCCGGCCGTCGTCGTCAACCTAGGAAAACAAAATTGAATAACGTTATGAAAATAAATTCAAAAAAACTGAAAACTACCAACAACCTATCTTTAAAACAAAAACAAAAACCACAACAACAACAAAACGGAAATTAAGAAAACCATGAACTTTAAAGAGAGAAAAATATAAAACAAATAATAAAGGAAAACATTAAAATAAAAACGAAACAAACGAATAACAAGGATCTTTAATAAATTACAGATAATTATAAAAGTATAAAAACAAACAAACAAAATCGTCGTATATAAAATATATATTATATTATTACTATTATTAAATATGAGATGAAAACAAAAAGAAAAACAAATGCGAAAAAGGAACAGAATTATATATGATTATTACTATGTTTTTTTTAATTTTAATTTTCTTTGTTAACCTTGGAAAAAGTAACAAATTGAGAGAACAGTGTAGAGTCATAGATAATATAGAGCATATGATATTTTTTTTGGATAGACAGCGGTCTGTAACTTGGAGGCAGGAATATAATAGATTAGCTTGTTATAAACAGTGCCTGTCTGGGGTTGATTTAACTGTTTGCCAGTCGCTGACCAGGGAATGTAATATAAACCAAGCCTACAAGTGTCTGTTTTCGTAACTTGTGAATGGAAGGGAAGTGGAAAAAGGAATAAATTCAATAAAAAATGAATAAATTTTCATCAGCTGATCAGTTGATAATGAAACTTGGAATGGCTGACAAGTTAGCAACCATTTCTGTTTTAACAGCTGACCTATAAAAATGTACACTAACTTGTTTTTTAATATTAAAGTTTTAACATGATATTAATATTCGGCCCTATTACCGTTGTCGTCGTCGTTGCAAAATGATGTCGAGGCCACAATAACGGTACTAAGGTTATCGTTTTTTGTCGATAGCGATTAATGATTGCAATTATTATTGATGGTAGTCGTTTTTAGAAAATCGGCCCTATTACCGTTGTCGTCGTCGTTGCAAAATGACGTCGAGACGATAATAACGGTATTAAGGTTGTCGTTTTTTTGTCGATAGCAATGAACGATTGCTATTATCATTGACGATACAACAGTCGACGTGAAGTCGTTTTTAGAGAATATCTGTCGCCGTAAAAAATTGTGACGGCCTTGTATTTATTAGTCGACGTTAATATTTTGACCATTTTGTATTTGATATTTGACCATGAAAATAACAACAGCAAAACAATTTGCAAATATTGAAGCCATCTCCGACAATGGTTTAATAAGATCCTAGCGCTAAAAACCTCAATGCTGTGGCCAATTGGAACAACTCCTCGATTTTTTCGAATTTTTTTCCAGAGTTAGTTGTTTTTACCCTGATTCCGGAAAGCTGATTTACCGGAATCACTTATCCGACATAGGCAATATGGGTATGGTTTGAAAACTTATACCTATACCTATCCAACAAGTGTTCACATGACCACCGAAGGCCGGCTACTTACAACAACTGTTAAATTTAGAAATCTTTAGTTCGCGTAGCCAGTTGAACATACCCAGAAGAGAATATCTCTGACCCAGAAATGGTATTAGCAAAAATTTTATAATTTTGGTAAGGTAAGAGTGTTGATAAAAAATACGGGTCTAAAAATCGATAATTTGACTATAACTTCCGAACCGCTTTAAATAACCCCATCAAGTGACCAAGTGATTAGAATTCAAAATTTCAACAAATTTGTATCTTTTTTTGTCAATAACAAGGGAGTGTTGCCAACGTTTTTGAAGTTGGTGCCAACTTTTATTTTAAACTGTCGATGTCGCTTCTATGCCTTACCGTAATACCATTGAATCGAATGAATCGAGGCGAGGAATCGAGCGTCGACGACGGCTATAGAAACGACAACCGTAATAGGGCCGATTGTTAAATTTTTGTTACATAATGATGAACTAAATACAAATAGTTCCCACCACACTCGATGATGATACAACAGTTTTTTCCTACCCATACCCAGACAGATATTGTTTATAACATAAAGGAAGTATTCAGGCTCCTTGGGTGGTTCGAATGAAAACTTTACTGGGCTGTATTTTTTTCTTCTTATGTATGTAAGTCTCTTTTAGGCTCTATATCAAAATTCTTTCAAAATCATCAATCAAATGTAGAAAATTATTAAATGCTGTTTCTTTTACTTTTTTTGAACAGATCAACTTTTTTTTTGCCACTTCATTTATTGTGTGAAAAAGACAAAGAAACAAATACTAAAATAATGAGCAAGGGAATCATTTTTAACGACAACACCAAGATTACAACACTTCACACTACAAAACATACCGGAAAGATAAATAACAACAACAACAACTATAGTCACTAAATTACCAATTAAGCAATTTGCAAAATGGCCTACAGTCACCGTTAAAATATACATATATTTTGTTTCTTATTTTAAGTGGAATAATATACATTTATATATATGCATATGGAGATGATGAAGCGATTCTAAATTAAATTCTTATTCCCCAACGCCAACATCTTTCCCGGCAGATGATTATTTTGATGATGCCAAGGGCAAGCAATACGCCCTAGGCTTATTACCATAAATCCCATGCAATTGGTTGGCATTTTATTAAATAAAAACATTTCCAATGAGATGAATCCATTTCTGTATGTGTTTTAAAGAATACATTTTGAAAATATTTTAATTTGAAGGACTTATCGTAGAAATGCATTATCAGGACAATCATGAATTGTAATTCAGTGGGTACCCACTTTTTCTGTCTCAAGTTTGGGGACCATTTATTTTCTAATAATAACTGAAAATTTGGAGCATATCAAATTTTTAAACATTTTAAAAATTGAAACAAATTTAACCTACTAAAAGATTTGGGGATTATTCGAATTTAATTTAATTCTCAATATCACTAAATTTTTATTGCAATAAGTCCTTTCCCATCAATTCTATATTTTTTTAATTTATTTTCCCACTCCTTCTTCTACAGATTGTCCCCCATATTGCCACCACATCAATATATAAATTTGTTATTTTCTCTAATTAAAATATTACTTATTATTGTTCATATTAAAAAAAAATATTTTTAAACGAACTAAGAAGTAATTTAGCTTTTATATTTAAAAAAAAGAAAATCAGGAAATATTGCAAATAATAATCATTATTGGAAAAAACAAACAACATTTGATTCTTTTTTTTATTTTTTGCGGCATGATTTTATTTTATTTTTTTTTTATTAAAAACAAACTTAAATACCCAGGAGTTCATTTAATAAGTCTGCATTTTTTATAACCCTATGGTACAGGAATCTGATATGAATCATGTTCAAAAGTCGACTAATGTATGTCCTGAGATCTTTTGGGATTGGATTTTATTAAAAACACTTATATAGGTGTATTGAGAAATAAAGTCGGTTTCGCCCGACTTGGATTCCTATCATTCTAGTTGTTACCAAATTTCCATGAGAGATTATTATACCCTCAGCCAGCCATATGGCTATATCATTTGATACGGCCAAACCGTGCCTCATCGAAATAACGGTTTTAGAGCCTATGTCTCTTTGCACCAAATTCGTTTTAGGACATTTGGAGTCGATCTAGCGATGTCCGTCTGCCTGTTTGGCTGGTTGGTTCGCACGGTAACTTTCAAAGGGAATATCCGATATGATTCAAACTTGACACATCGTAATATTAATGTCAAACGAGTTCGAGATGGGCAATATCGGTCCACTCCTTCTGGTACCTCTCACACAAAATGTTAATATTTTCAAAGAAAATAATTTACTGCACAGAAAGAGAAAGGATAATCCGATTTAGCTTCAACTTTGCGAATTTTAATATTTGCATCAGTGCTACGTCAGGTGTGAAAATGGACAATATCGTGCCACTCCATCAAGTACCTCCCCCACGAAGGGACAAAATTTTGAATAATTATAACTCTTAAAAATGTGATGTAACAGTCCGATTGTCTTCAAAGTACACACATCACAATGTTTTTATTAACCCAAGGTCTGGGATGAAGATGGAATATATCGGTCCACTCCTTCTGGTACCTGCCCACAAAGGGTCTAAGTTTTGAATATTTATGAAGCTTATAAAACACGAAATTAACATCCGATTCCATTTAGATTTGGCACATCTCAATATTTCTATCAACACAAGATGTGTTATAAAGATGGTAGAAATCGGACCATTCCTTCTTGTACCTCCCCCACAAAGGGTCAAAGTTTTCAGTAACCACAACAATCATAAAATTCGAAATAAGCATCTGTTTCTCCTCAAATTACACACATCACAATATTTTTATTAACCCAAGGTCTGGTGTGAAGATGGAATATATCGGTCCACTCTTTCGGGCACCTCCCACACAAAGAGTCAAAATTTTAAATATTTATGAAGCTTATAAGACACGAAATTAACATCCGATTTCATTCAAACTTGGCACAACTCAATAATTCCATAAAAACAAGATCTGTTACAAAGATGGTAGAGATCGAACCATTCCTTCGGGTACCTTCCCCACAAATGGTCAAAACTTTGAATAACCAAAACGATCATAAAATCCGAAATAAGCATCTGTTTCTCCTCAAATTACACACATCACAATATTTTTATTAATCCAAAGTCTGGTGTTAAAATGGGATATATCGGTCCACTCTTTCGGGCACCTCCCACACAAAGGGTCAAAATTTTGAATATTTATGAAGCTTATAAAACACGAAATTAACATCCGATTCCATTCAGATTTGGCACATCTCAATATTTACATAAACACAAGATTTGTTATAAAGATGGTAGAGATCGAACTATTCCTTAGGGCACCTCCCCCACAAAGGGTCAAAAATTTGAATATTTATGACGATTATAAAACACGAAATTATGATCCGATTCCATTCGGACTTGACACATCTCAATATTTGTATAAACACGAGATGTGTTATAAAGATGGTAGAGATCGGTCCTCTCCTTCTGGTACCTCTAACACTAAGGGTCAAAATTTTGAATGATCATAAAGCTGATAAAACACGAAATTAACATCAGATTCCATTCAGACTTGGTACATCTCAGTATTTCCATCAACACATGATCTGTTATAATGATGATAGAGATCGGACCATTTCCTTTTGTACCTCCCCCACATAGGGTTCAAGAATGAAGAAACAAACGCTATAAGAAAGGGAAATAAGCATCCAGCTCTATTCAAATTTTACACATACAAACATTTTTGCTAACACAAGATCTGTTGTGAAAATGATATACATCGGTTCTCTGGTATATTACCCACCAAGGGGTCACAATTTTCAATACTTTTTATCTGGCATACCTCCCGAAACAAGTCAGCGATTCTTTACAACTTAGGATATCTAAATATTTCTCCCAGCCAGAAACCTGAGATGAATATGGAATTAATTATTTCGCATAAATTTGGATATAAATGTTCGATTTTCTTCTGTCGACCTCCCGTACATTTTAACATTTTCTAAAAATGATCACATATCTAATATAAAGTGAAAGGAAGTAACAAATATAGTCCAAACCAGGCACGTCGCAATATTTTTATCATATCTATTTAAGTCCGATACGAAATGGACAATATTGGCCCATTCCTTTGAAACATACTCCATAGAGGGTTAAACATTTGAATAATCATAACAGAAATAAAAAAATATATAAATAATCGAAGATTGGCCGAGGGTATACATCTGTCGGCAAAACCGATCGATACTTTTTAACTTATTTAAGTTTATTTAATTGAACTCCTCAGTATTTCCCTTTTGCTTTCATATCCATATTTCATTTCCAAAATTACTCACCCCCATGGAATCCCCCTAGATATAAAGCATTTATTTATTTTTTGGGCATTTCTTTTTAAACAAAGTTCTATTATTATCTACAGCTTTAACAACAAATCGTTAAAATGTAACGATACAAAAATGGCATACATGAAGTAAAAACAACAACAACAAAACAAAATCCCATTAATAATTATGTATGTATGTACTATATATTCATAACAAAATAAAAAAAAAAAAATACAAAAGAACCAGTACGTAATATGATGATGCATACACATACAAACTTGAAAAACAAAACAAAACAAAACAATTGGTTAATTAAATTAACTTTAAATACATATAAACAAACTTCTTAACCCCCATTACAAAATTATAGATTTTTCTTTTTTTGTATAAATTGCAAATTTTAAATAAAAAGTATTTCTTTTTTTTTTCTTTGTATCTCCCCAAGACTTGAAAAAATGATATTCCTAGTCTTTTTTCATTTTTATTATCACACCTACTCTCCCCAACCGGAAAATTTCAAACATTTTACATGACAGCCCGTCGTTTCGTTTATAAATTATAGTAATGATGACGTTAATAAAAAAACAAAGCGATTATTTATACACTGAAAACAAGAATGAAAAACAAATATATATTAAAACAAAAAATATGCCTAAAAAATAACGATAATAAAAAACCAACAACAACAACAAACAAACATTTTTTATTAATAATAAATAAAATGAAATGAATTATATTATGAAAATCGAAAACAAATGCAGTTTGTGATTTGGTTAGTGTTTCAGAGTTTCTTCACCATTTTTGAGTAATTTTTCGTTGTCAATACATAGAGGAAAATTAAAAAAAAAAAATAACAAGTTAAAAAGCGGTAAGTTCGGCCGGGCCGAACTTTGAATACCCTCCACCATTTGTTAAAATTTTAGAAATACCAAATGAAGCCATTATATTGGGCTCTATACGATGTGGACCTACATAGGCATTGTTTGTCATAAGCCATTACCATATTCAAGTTCGAAACTTGAAATAATGGGTGAATAATGTAGCTAGAATCATCAAAATATCGTAGATAGGGAGGTACCGTTATATCGGAGCAGTGCGAAGACCTGGACCAGCACAGGCTGTAGCATTCATTACGAAATTTAAATACGACATCTCAAAAAATTTCGGTGGGTATTGTACCTAAAATCGTCAAAATACCGGAGGTACTGATATATGGGGCCTATACAAAAACTTGGACCTGCATACACAATTTTCTGTCACGGACAGTAGTTCCCATTACGAAATCTAAATAAGTAATTTGAAACAATTCCGGTGAATAATGACGCTAAAATCATCAAAATACCGAATATTCGGAGGTACCGTTATATGGGGGCTATACGAAGACGTGGACCTGCGTAGACAATTTTCTGTCACAGACTGTAGTATCCATTACGAACTTCAAATACCAAATTTGAAAAAATTCGGGTAAATAATGTCGCTAAAATAATCAAATTACCGAATATTGGGAGGTATAAGGGGGCTATACGAAGACGTGGACCTGTACAGACAATTTTCTGTCACAGGCTGTATTATCCATTACGAACTTCAAATACCAAATTTGAAACAATTCCGGATAATAATGTCGCTTAAATATCAAAATACCGAATATCGTGAGGTACCGTTATATGGGGGCTATATGAAAACGTGGACCTACATGGCCCATTAACGAACTTAACCTGTCTACTGGAAAATAAACATGTGTGCAAAATTTTAGCCTTCTATCTCAATTCGTTCGAAAAATAGCGTGATTACACAGTCTGTGACAACTGTCTGGGACGGACAGACGGACATGGCTAGATCGACTTAGAATTTTACGCTGATCAAGAATATATATACTTTGTTGGGTCTGACATGAGTATTTCGTAGTATGGTGGCGGGTATAAAAATCTGCAATCGTTACTAGTTCGAATTGTTCATCAGAAGATAATATTCCGTAGTCTCCGTAGTTTGTGTTTTAAAACTGACAAATAAGCCATAAGGTCTTTGCACACAAGTCAAGGTTGTATAGTGCATATTACGCTGGCGTGGGACTTTAACACCAAATCGGATGAAACATTTATATGGAAGTTATATCTGAACCGATTTTGAGAAAAATTTGATGCTCTTGCTTTTGGCTGAATTCCGTCGGAAGTGCCAAAACTAAGTTTATTTTTGATGATATTAGCCATTTGATCCAGGAAAAACCTAAAATCAGATACAGATATATGTGGGAGCTATATCCAAATCTGAACCGATCTTGAAAATATTGTAAACTCTTATTTCTGAGCTGTATCTGATATCTGGTACCAAAGATCATTCTTGTGGATATTACGCATGAGAGGGACTGTAACACAAAATCGGATGAAACATATATAAGGGACCTATAGCTATATCTGAAACGATTTTCATCAATATTTGATGTACTTGATTCTAGACTGAATTCTGTCAGATGTGCTAAAAATCTGTTTATTTTTGATGATATTAGCCATTTGGTGCACAATAAACCTGATATCGGATTAAGATATATGTTAGAGCTATGTCCTAATCTGATCCGATCTCGATAAAATTTGACAGAGGTATTTTAGAGCTCCATAAGATAACTTATACCAAATATCATTTTTGTGGAATGCATATTACGCATGTGAGTAGACGGAAGAAAACAGCAACATCAGCAGATATGGTCCGAAAAGTAAAGAACGACTTGATTTAAACCCGCGTCGCAGGTGATGAACATATTCTGGAGGTTGTATTAAAGCCTTGGACACGCAAACATTTTGGCCGCAGACCTTGGACTTTCCAACAGGACTCATCACCATCACCATCGCACTCAGCACGCGCCACCCAAGAATGGTTAAAAAATGAGGTTCCTCGCTTTATTTTCCAACGCACAATGGCCACCTCTCCGGATACCAATGCGTTGGACTATTGTGGATTATTTTGGAAAGCAAAGTTGGCACTAAAAGCAAGGTTGGCACTAAAAATACCAAGCGCTTCGCTAGAACAATCCTAAACTTATTCTAAAATTTGATGCTATTTCCGAGAGAGGCAGGACCTATGATAAAATAGAGAGAAGACGTATTGCGAACTCCAAATTACAATTATGGGATAATTTCGTTGACAAATTTGGAAAAGTACTAAATATCGGAAGTACCATCATAAGGGGGATATACAATGATATGGACATTCATAGGAAGCCGGTACCCATTATGAACGTCAAATATCTAATCTAAAACAATTCCGTTGAAATTTGACAAAATACCGAATATCTTTGTGTACAGTCATATAGGGTATATACGAAAATGTGGGCGTATATAAAAACTCTTCAATCAGAGAAGACAAATAATTCGCTTGAAAAATGTAGATAAATTCATCATAATACCGAATATAGGGAGGTACACTTATATGGAGGTTATAAGGGCATGGAACTATGTAGGTTAATTTCGTTCAGAAGCTATAGTGATTTTCACAGACGGACATATACATACATACATACTTTGTGGAGTCTAAAATGTATATTTTGAGAAATTGGCAATGAGATTCGTATTGGATTGAGCTAGCGATATGCGAAAATAATTCCATATGTCGCTGTGGAACAATAGGAATATAAATAGGGAAAACACAAAAATTAGCCCAAAATAATGAACTAACAAACGACTTAATATTACTGACTAAAGCGGGGATTAGAAATATTAGACGTGGAGCTGGTCAGAAGTGACCTTTTAATGTATTTGTAATTTGGGCGGGATTAAAAATATTCGAGGTTTGGTGGTTATGGCTATATATTGTCCGATTACCATCCAAATTGGTTAGCTTCTGCCCAGCCCTCAACTCAAACTCCATGCAAATTTCTGCGTCTATTGGTTCATATTTGTGGCCTGTAGAGCAACTGGGAAATTAGGAACATTTTCTGTTATTGGTCCATTTGAACCCCTAAATACTGTGCGATCATCTCCAAAAACAATAGACTTCTATTCTGACCCTAACCCCACCTCCATTTTCAATTTCGTGAGTATCGGGCCACAATTGCGACCTGTAGCTTGATTAAAAATTAACATGGACAGACGAACGAATGGACATTCAAAGCTTAATCGACTCAGCTAGGCGAGATAGGAAGATCCATATATATAGTTTCCTATGTCGGAAACCATTGTTTCGAGGTGTTACATCATTTTTGGCCCAATCAAACTTATAATACCCCCAACACATAGTGTTGTAGGGTATAAAAATAGAGATTCTTTGAAAATATAATTAATTTTTCCAATTCGAACTTGTAAACTTGTTGAAGTGGAAAACACCTTTGTTAATTATAATAAAATCTATATATTTCTTATATAAATAAAAATATAAATACAAATTCGTAACAAAAAAAAAAAAAATAAATAAATAAAACTGCAACAAATGCATGGCATTGCATTCTATTTACAAACATTATTTTCTGGACAATAGGGGTGTGATGGGTCTATTTTTACGTTCAAGTTCTTCTGAACGTTCAGCTTCGCGTTCGCCATATAGATCTAAGTGGCGGCCATGATACCAAACGAGCACATCAAAGAATACACCAATTGCTGTGAAACCTGGAAGGGATGAAAAAAAAAAAACAAATAATAAATGGCAATCGAAACCAGTAAGGAAAAGTCAAAAATCAGGCGGAGCCGACTATATGATACCCTACACCATTATGCATATTTAGTGGAGCTCCCGTACCAAAAGAATTTATTTGAAGTAGATCATACCACCTATCAAATGTTTGGATTGGGAGCAGTTATAGTTAGGTTTCAGAGGGAACTCATATATGGGAGGCATATCCAATTCTCGATCGATTTTCATAAAATTTGACGGAGATGGCCTGTTCCAGAACTGCAAGAAGGTGAAAGTTTTTACTACGATAACCGATCTTCCCTCTATGATATCGAAGAAAATTGCAATACTAGTATATTCTTGCAGGTACGGGAACAGAGCATTTGCCATAGATTGCATGATATCACTTCGAGAAGGATTATATTAAAAATATATATAGAGTGCCATCAAATGGAAACGTACGTCCCGAAATTCACTCCACCTGAACTGATATTAGCCATTATGCATAATAAACCGGAGATCGGATATAGGATTTATATTTGTGAGCTATATCCAAATCTTTGCCGATCTCGATAAAATTTGGCAAAAGTATTTTCGAGCTCTATAAGATATCTGGTACCAAATATCATTGTTGTCAAATTGTGAATCGATTTTCTAGCCTGAATTCGGTTGGATGTGCCAAAATTCAGGTCTTTTGGACTGATATTGGCCATTTGGTGCATAATTAACACGAAATCGGAAGAAGATATATATGGGAGCTATATCCAAATCTGAACCGATCTTCATAAAATTTGGCAGTGGTATTTCTGGGCTATATCTCGTATCTGGTACCAAATATCATTCTTGTGGAGTACATATTAAGAATCTGAGGGACTTAAAACCTCAAATCGGATGAAACATATATATGGGAGTTATAGCTATATCTGAACCGAACTCCACCAAATTTGATGTACTTGCTTCTGGACTGAATTCGGTTGGATGTGCCAAAGTTTAGATCATTTGGAATGATATTGGCCATTTGGTGCACAATTAACCTGAAATCGGAAGAAGATATGTATGGGAGCTATATCCAAATCTGAACCGATCTTTATAAAATTTGTCAGAGGTATTTCTGGGCTGTATCTGATATCTGGTACCAAATATCATTCTTGTGGAGTGCATATTACGAATGTGAGGGACTTAAAACCCCAAATCGGATGAAACATATATGTGGTAGCTATAGCTATATCTGAACCGATTTTCACCAAATTTTATGTACTCACTTCTAGCCTGAATTCGGTCGGATGTGCCAAAATTCAGATCATTTGAACTGATATTGGCCATATGGTGCACAATTAACCCGAAATCGGAAGAAGATATATATGGGAGCTATATCCAAATCTGAACCGATCTTCATTAAATTTGGCGGAGGTATTTCTGGGCTGCATCTGATATCTGGTACCAAATATCGTTCTTGTGAAGTGCATATTGCGAATGTGAGGGACTTAAAACTCCGAATCGGATAAAACATATATATGGAAGCTATAGCTATATCTGAACCGATTTACAGCAAATTTGATGTACTTGCTTCTAGGCTGAATTTGGTGGGATATGCCAAAATTCAGATCATTTGGACTGATATTGGCCATTTGGTGCACAATTAACCCGAAATCGGAAGAAGATATATATGGGAGCTATACCTAAATTTGAACCTATTATCACCAATATCAAAAGGGTTCGTCCTTAGGGCAAACAAATATTTTTTGAAAAATCTTATTTCAATCCAATAATAAATGCGACATGGATTTTGTTCACAACAATAGATGGTAAGACGGGCGGACGGATAGACGGACTGACATGCATAAATCGACTCAGAAAGTGATTCTATGAAGATCCTGAAAAGTAACTACAAGTCTATCTTGCTTCCTTCTCTATGTTACAAACAAATGCACAAATACATAATACCCTCGCCACTAGGTGTAGGGTATAAAAAGTGTTTGAATAACTTACAACACGCCACGGCATTGATATTGACACGGAACGCATCCTGATCGTATAGCTGACAATTGCCATTGCCCGTACATGTTCGAGTCCATTTCAAACATGTCGAATCGATGATACGTCCAAATATAATGGGCCCCGGTATCAGACCGAACAGACTGATCATCATTAGCATTAGGCCTTGGGCAAATGACTTATCTTCGGTGGAGACGGCACGATAGTTAACCAAAATGTTGCCAATACGGCCCGAGGATCCGAACCAATTCAAAATCATTGAAACAATTGTAAATGTCCAAAAGGCTTTGGTGCAGCCCTTCAAACAGACGCCAGGTTTTAAAATGTTCTCTTTCAAACTCTCCAAGGAACGACGGGCTCGACTTGCAAGGTTGTCTGAAACCGTTGTTGTTGTTATTGTAGAGGTTGCTGTGCTAAAATCATCGAAGGTGGTATCATCAAAATATATTGTTGTATCTACTGGAAGTGTTCTTGCACTTGCTGATCGCATTGTTGTTGTGGGCATGGAATTGGTTATGAGAGGTTGTAGCAAATCGGAATTAATTGTTGAGGACTTCATAAAAGGAGTTGACGTTGTTGTTGGGATGGTAGTTGGCCATGCAGATGTTGTCGTCGTGGCATTATAGCCTCCATAGGATATACAGGAACAGTTTGAGTAGTACTGGAAATGAGGGATGTGAAAATTTTCTTTACATTTCAAAAATCTCTTAAAAAATACCTTGAGATCCGAATTCCATGCTTGACAGCCAGCATGACAGGGTGAGAAAAATGTGGTTTCCGTTTCCTCGTGACAAATGGGAGAATAGGGAACATTTTCACAGCCGCAATTTGCATTACACGAGGAAGACAAGTTCAACCTAAGAATGGAATACATTTTTTTAAGAAAAGAGGGTAAACCATTGGACCCAGTAGACTCACTTTCCATTCTGATCCAATACCACCGAATCACTGCAATACAGAAACATATAACCAATTTGTCCCAATATGAAAACAAATCCCACAATGACATTCCACATTAGCACCTTACTGGGTGCCGGTTTCTTTTTGGTTAATATTAAACCGGATCCCACCAAACCCACAACCATACCAAGAATCGAGATGGGACCCACAACAATTGTGGCACTTTGGGAACTTCTATGGAATTGTACTTCCATGTATTTGGTCAAAAATGTCATAATCGCTGAGGCACCCAAAATATAGAAGATACCCGAGGTGATGTTGAAGATCAGCAACTTGTTGCGCAGCAATCGCATGAGGGCACGTGGGAAGTCTGAAAAGGGAAAATATTGGATATTAAAAGAATATTCTATAAAGATCCGTATGAAAAAAGAAGGATTTTTATAGAAGTTCTCCTCTAAAGGTTATATACAAGCAGAATTCAAAAGAAGGTTGTAGAGATGCATAGCATTTAAAGGCTTTTTATTATTGAAAGACCTCAGATTACTTAAAAACGCTAGAATTTTGAAATTTTGGGAGAGGGTCACTCTTGATCTAAGGGGTCAGATAAGGTTTTTGGAAATTCGTACTATAATGGAACGAAAAGTACTAAAAGGTACTAAATATGATACACTTTGTATTTGACGAACCAGTAAAGCTAGAACTTTTAAATTTGGAATAAGGGTAACTAATGGAGTGAGTGGTGGATGTATGAAAGGGATTTTGGAAATTCACACCATAAAAGTACGAAAAATACTAAAATGTACTATATTTGGTACTATTTCGTATTATGTGAACGGTTAGAGCTAAAAACTTGAAATTTGGAATGGGAATGAAGGTTGAGGGGTAGGGTCGATATAAGGAAGTGTGTACTCATTAATATGAAAAGTACTTAATGGTACTAAATTTAGTACACTTTGTATTTGGAGCAACGGATGGAGCTGGAATCCTTAAATTTGATATTAACATTACTGGCGGAGTGTAGGATTGGGGTATGGAGGTCATTTTCAAAATTTGTACTTATGTGCAGGAACTGTGGTACTAAATTTGGTACAATTTGGGTTTGGGTGAATCGATCCTGAATTTTGGAAAGAAGATTACTATTGCCCTGTAGGTCTGAGGTACATAGGAAGTTTTGGAAATTCGTACTTATGTGTACTAAAAGGTACTTAATTTGGTACAAAATAAATTTTGGGTGAACCGATAGAGTTTGTATCCTGAAATTCTAGACAAGTAAAAAAACATTAAGTTCGGCCGGGCCAAACTTTTAATACCCTCCACCTTAGGGTAAAGGAAACATTAGAAGAAATGTGGCAAAAACCGAATATCGGGAGGTGCCGTTATATGGGGGCTATACCAAATCGTGGACCTACACATGCATTGTTTCGCCACCGGAGCTGAAACCTATTATGCCCAACTAATACCAATTTTTAGATAAATCGGTGAAAAAATGTGGCAAAAAAATTAAAATACCGAATATCGGGAGGTACCTTTAAATGGGGGCTATATCAAAACGTGGACCGATATATCTCATTTTCAATACCAACCATCCTAGACACAATACAAATTATTCTGCTCTACGTCAAATAATACTTAAGTGTACTAAGTGGTACTAAATTTAGTACTATTTGAATTTGGGTTAATCAATAGAGCTGGTACACTGAAAATTTGAAATAAGATTACTGTGGGAGTATAGGATTGGGCCATGTACTTACATGTACTAAAATGTACTAAATTTGGTACAATTTGGATTTAGGTGAACCGACAAGGATAGAATGCCAATCTTTGAAATTGGTATTACTGTGAGAGTGTAGGATTGTGTTATGTATATGGCATGTATGACCTCAATATCAAATGTCAGGATACAAGCTCTATCCATTCATTCAACGACAAATGTAGTACCATTCCAGTTCTATCCTAAGACTCAATACCAGGTACCAAGTTATACTACGCATGTCCAAAATGACCTAAACCACCTTCTTCTCTCAACCACAGACGCTAATAGTGAAATTTATATAAAATTTCAGGATTTCAGCTCTATTGCTTCATCCAATATCAAATTTAGTACTATTTAGTACTTTTCGTTTTATTTTAGCGTACATGTTCAAAACCACCTCCATATCTTTATTCCAGACACCAATAGAGACCTCTTACCCAATGCCAAATTTAGTACCATTTAGTACTTTTCGTACAAATATAGGACACATTTACAAACCACCGCCAAATCTTAAATCAGTAATCTAATCATTAAATTTCAGAATCTAACCCTTTACCCCATACCAAATATGGTACTATTTAGTACTTTTCCTACGATTTTAATACACATTTCGGAAACCTACTCTACATATCCAGGCCACACATGAACAACGATCCCAATACCAAATTTCAGATTACAAGTCCTATCTGTTTACCCAATACCAAATTGTACCAAATATAGTACTATTTAGTACTTGTCGTGCACTTGCAGTACACCTTTCCAAAACCAACGCTCACTAACCTACCACCAGCAGGGATCCCAGTACAAAATTTGAAAATTGCAGCTTCATCTGTTTACCCTAAAGCAACCTGTTCTAAATTCCATGTATAGTACCATTTAGTACAGTTCGCAAACTTCTCCTACTTTAAGTTCAATACCATTATCTACATGAATATTGACACCATATTTATACCCTACACAACATTGTGGACATGGAGAAGGAAGCGATATAGACCCATAGTTACTTTCGAGGATCTTCATAGAATCACTTTCTGAGTCGATTCATGCATGTCAGTCTGTCCGCTCGTGTATCCACGTATTCTTACGAACAAAATACAGGTTGCATTTATTATCCGATTGAGATGAAATTATCCTACAAATATTTATATGGCCCAAGGACGAACCCTATTGAAATTGGTGAGAATCGGTTCAAATTTAGATATAACTCCCATATCTTTCCTCACCCGATTTCGGGTTAATTGTGCACCAAATGGCCAATATCAGGCTAAATGACTTGAATTGTGGCACATCCGACCTAATTCAGTCTAGAAGCAAGTAAATAAAATTTGGTGAAAGTCTGTTCAGAAAAGCTCCCATACATATGTTTCATCCGATTTGGTATTTACGTCCCTCACATTCGCAATATGCATTCGACAACAATGATATTTGGTACCAGATATAAGATACAGCCCAAAAATACTTCTGCGAAATTTTATCAAGATCGGCTCAGATTTGGATATAGCTCTCATATATACCTTTATACGATTTCAGGTTTATTGTGGACCAAATAGCTAATATCAGCTCAAATGGAGTGAATTGTGGCACATCCAGCCAAATTCAGAAGAAGAAGAAGCAGGTACTTCAAATTTGGTGGAAATCGGTTCAGATATATATCTATAGCTCCCATATATATGTTTCATCCGATTTGGAATTTTTTATTCCTCACATGCGTAATATGCACTCCAAAAGAACGATCGGTACCAGATTTCAGATACAGTTCAGAAATAAGTACCTAAAATTTTGTTAACATCGGTTCAGATTTGGATATAGCTTCCATATAATTTCAATCCGATATCAGGTTGATTGTGCGCCAAATTGTTAATATCAGCCCAAATACAATACTCAATGTAACCATCGATTTGATCTGAAGATATGATTGATATGAAGATATATTATATGAAGATATATACTGTATTTGCTACCATTTTGAATATGAAGACGGATACGATCCTCTTCATAAAGATCGGTCTGCTATATGATGTTCTTCTAAAAACTCTACACTCTATATAAAATCCGATTTCCTTTGGGAGGAGATCCATACAAACTTCTATGTGAAGATTGATCGAAACCTCATATATGACTATAGACGCGATCTTTATCATCTCTCTGAAAACCTACCTTTAAGCTGTGGAAAATCTGGTTTATCCACAACTGGTGCATCCAGCGTGGCATTCGATGAAAAACTTCTGCCCAGTGGCAAACATTCATCCATTTTCAATTCTTCGTGTCTCAAGACATGCGGGACATGAGAGTTACGCAGCACTGGAGTTTTCTTTGGAAGCTCTTTGGGGAAAAGACCTATCAAACCGGAAAATACAATCATAAGGGTGCCCAATATCATCCAACCAAACCACCAGGCTCCCAACCAGCGGGGATCCTTGTTGTCAATTAGAGGAGTTTTCGATGGGTCAATGAACATGTTCAACGAAACATAACCTAAAAGAAAGCAGGGAAAATAATGCGAAATATTAAAATCTGATTTTGGAATTTATTTTTTTGTTAAATCTCACCCAAAAAGAAACCCACAATGGGTCCAACCAAACGCAGTGAAAAAGCCACCGACAGCATTAGTGGGGTATTTGTCTTCTTCGTGTTGTCATCCAAATACGATTGACCCAATGAATAGTAGAGGGTATTACCAATACCCAGTACAAATTGGGAGAGGAAAATCAAGACTAAGGGTAGGATGGATAACAACGATTCACATTCTTGAGAGGTTTTCAAAACCCCACACAATTGTTGAGAATTTTTTATGGTGGCATTCTGGAAATGAAGATGATATTAAGCCTTAAAACCCATATGCAGGTATTTATGAATTGAAAAGTAATAGCCAGAAAGCAGGGATGGAAGATCTAAATAAGTCATTATTAAAGTAAATTTTGGACGATTTTTTTCAATATCAAACTTCCCATCTCTGGAAAGGGTATTAGTCCCATAAGTCAGGAATAATAATATTATTCTTTTTTGCATTTGAATTACAGCCTCTTTAAGGAGCCCATATTTGGGTCTCCTGTTTTTAGTTTCATTAAAATATATTCCACTTTCAAATTTAGATTTCCCATCCCTGGTGTTGAAAAGAATTGTTGATAATATTCAAAATTAAAAAAAATCATTTTGTTCACCTACAACCAATGACATGGTACTTGTAACATTATCACCCTCCACATCATAGTACTCCTTGGTGAACTGCAGAATATCTTGGCCCGCTCCGTAAATGAAATGTGGCAATGCCAAAATATAACAGGATATGCCACAGAATACAATGCCATAGGCAATCCAACGCGGTCGATTCCTCTGGCCACCAATGTACGAGAGTATCAGAGATAATAATATTTGAGATATCTCATTGCCGCTGAGTATGATGCCTGAGAGAGGGAGAGATAGATAGAGAGAGAGAGAAAACAATCTTCAATTAAATAGGCCATTATTAAAGTGAAAAAAGATAAATAACTAGAGAAGTAGCAGAGAGGACCTTTCTGAGGTTACTTATGGGCTTTTTAAAAATAGTATTATTAATATTATATATATTATATATATTATCGTTATTACAGGGTAAGATAAAAAAACTGCAACAAAGTCAAAACGTGTTTTGATGATTTTAGCCACATTTTTCAACGGAATTGTCTGAAAATCCACACAAGGAGTACCTTGTGGGTAATTTATACCTCGGAAGAGAATTTCTTATAGGTCCACGATATCGTATGGCCCCCATATAACGGCACACCCGATATTCGGTGTTTTGATGATTTTAGCCATATTTTCCTATGGTATTGTCTGAAAATCCACACAAGGAGTTCTTTGTGAGCACTTTAACCCCTGAAAAGTAATTGTCTATATAGGTCCACAATATCGTATATCCCTCCATAAAGCACCTTCCGATATTAGATATTTTAAAGATTTTAACAGAATTTTTAATGGATTTTATTATTTTTTGTTTACAAATTGCCGGATAACGAATGTTTTCTCATCGGAGCGGAGAAAACTAAATGCGGCAGTTCACCACTTTCGGCCAAGCGAAGAAACGCTTTAGCTCTTTTGAGTCCATTTTTTTTTCTGTTGCGGTGTAAGTTCCTGCACGTTTTGGTATTTCAATGGCTTTACCCCGAGCTCATTTTTGAATATTTGCCGAATGGAATATTGCGATATGTGTTCAGCTCACGAGCCATTTTTCGGCCACTTCAACGCGGGTTTCGATCAAGTCGCGCTTTTTTACTTTTCGAACCATTTCTGCTGATGTTGTTGTTTTTTTCTGTCCACTTTCTTGACGTCGGGGTACCCTACCAGTATCACGGTAACGAGCGATGGTACGAGACACAAAAGATTTATTAACATTTTTTATGCTGGAGTGCCCTAACGATAGCCACTTGTGGTTTTCCTGCCAAATATCAAGAAAACACACTATCACGCTTGAATTCCATCACGAATAACTTTTTTCTGGAAAAATCTCACCAAAATGCTTTTGTACGCTTGTAAACAATATAATGAGTTGTCTCTGGAATTATTTTAACAGCTGTTGGACGAGTGGCTTATAAATGACAGCAGTCTGAAGTTGGCTGCAGTTTTTTTATTTCTCCCTGTGTTATTGATATTATAATTATTATCCAATAACAATAATAATTATTATAATTATAATTATTAATATTATTATTGTTATTTTTATTTCTAATATTATTATTTTTATTATCAATTATTTAAATATTATTATTCTTTCACTATCATTATTATTTAAAAAAATTTTCACTCACCTGTTGTCTGACTGGGTATTTTAAATCGTTTCTCGATTGTCGTCAGCGTTACCACGAAATACATATAGGACATGGCCTGTATGGTACCCATCAGACCATAAACAGCCATAAACATTTTGGGCGTAGCATATTTCTGCATCCAGGCGGGATGCCATTTTGCCAAACCACAAAGACTTTGTTCATTGCGGGTTCGAGTTGAAGTCGCTGAAGGCATAGTGAAGGATTGTATGGAGCGGTCTTAAACGTTTTGAGTTATGTTCTCGTTTCTTCAATACGATTTTTTTCAGTGTCGAACCATTAAATCTATAAAAAAAAAACGGAACAAATAATAAATATTTTTAAACTAAAGAAACATGCAATCGTTTAAAGCTAGAATCTTGAAAGTTTGGGTGCAAGTCACTCATGATCCGAATGTGTCAGATAAGGCTGGGTTTTTGAAAATTCGTACTAGAACGGTACCAAAAGTACTAAAGATCGTACCCTTTATATTCGAAGATCAGGTAGAAACTCTTAAATTTAGAATGAAGGTCATTGATGGAGTGCGATGGATGTACTACATTTGGTACCATTTGGTATTATGTGAACGGATAGAGCTAAAAACTTGAAATTTGTTATGAGAATCAAGGTTGGCAAGTAAGTTTGATATATGAAGGTGGTTTTGGAAATGTGTACTAAGTTTGCGAACTGTACTAAATGGTACGAAATTTGAAACATTTTGGTTTACGATGAACGGATGAAGATGAAATTTTGAAAATTTTTTCTTGGGGTCTCTTTTAATGATAGGTTTATGATAAAGAGGTGGTTTTGGAAATGTGTACCACAAGTGCACGAAAAGTACTAAATAGTATTATATTTGACACAATTTGGTTTTGGGTGAACAGACAGTGCTTAAAATCTGAAATTTGGCATTTGAGTCACTGTTCATGTTCAGCTTGGACATATGGAGGTGGTTTCAGAAAAGTGTACAATAGTTATACGAAAAGTACTGAATGGTTCTAAACTTGGTATTGGACAAAGTGATAGAGTCTGATGGCGTCTGTGGTTAAGATATGGAGGAGGTTTTGAAAATGCATCCTATATTTGTACGAAAGGTACTACACGGTACTAAATTTTGTATTGGGTGAAGGGATAGTACTGGTATATGAAATTGAGATTTGTAGGTGGTTTTGAAAAGTACTAAGTGGCACCAAATTGGGTGAAGGAATATAGCTGGATTCCTGAAATTTGATATAGACGTCACTGTTTGTGTTGGTGGTTAAGACATGGAGGTGGTTTCGGAAATATGTTAATTAAAGATCAAAAATCCTGAAATTTGCTATTAAGCTCACTGATGGTATCTGAGGTTGAGATATGGACATTGTTTTGTTAGAATAGTACAAAATGGTACTAAATTTAGTATAGAGTTAAAGTATAGAGTTGGAATTGCAAAATTTTTTATTAAGATATCAGTTGGGTGTCTGGTGTTGAGTTTGGATGGTTGTTTCTGCAAATGCGTACTATAATTGTTCGAAATGTACTAAATTTGGATCTATGTTAGCGCCTACAATGGAGAGATGTATATTGTATATAGAGTCCGATCGTCTTCGAATTTCACACATCTCAAACATTTTATTAACCCAAGGTCTGGTGTAAAGGTGGAATACATTGGTCCAATCCTTCTGGTGCCTCCTCCACATTTTGAATATTCATGAAGCTCATAAAACGCGATATTAACATCCGATTCCATTTGGAATCGGCATATCTGCATATTTCTATCAACGAAGGATCTGTTATAAAAACGGTAGAGATCGGACCGTTCCTTCTAGTACCTATCCCACAAAGGGTCAACATTTGAATAACCAAAACGTTTAAAAAATCCGAAATAAGCATCAAGTTCTCTTTATGTTTCACACATTCCATTATTTCTACAAACACAAGATCTACTGTGAATATGGCATATATACCGGTTTACTCCTTCTGGTAACTCTCCCACAAAGGGTAAACATTTTGATTATCCATGAAACTAATAAAAAGCGAAATTAACGTCCGATTCCATTCCAGACTTGGTACATCTCAATATTTCGATCAACACAAGATCTTTTATAAAGATGGTAGAGATCGAACCATTCCTTCTAGTACCTCCCCCACAAAGGGGTCAAGGTTTTGCATAACCAAAACGATCATAAAATCCGAAATAAGCTTCCGGTTCTCCCCAAATTATACACATAACAATATTTTTATTAACCAAAGGTCTGGTGTGAAAATGGGATATATCGGTTCACTCTTTCTAGTACCTCCCCCGTTAAATGTTCGATTTTCTTGTAATTTTGCCCATACCAATATTTGTATCTGTTTTAGATGAAGTGTGAAAATGGAATACTTCTGTCGACTATATCGGATACCTCACGTACATTATATCTCAAATAAAGTGAAGGAAGTAACCAATATAGTCGAAATCTGGCACATCGCAATATTTATATCATATTTATTTAGGTCCGATACCAAATGGAAAATATTGGCCCATTCCTTTGGAACCCTCTACATAGAGGGTCAACAACAATCGTAACAGAATGAATTTATAGCAATTTTCTGAAAATAGAATTTCTGTATTTAAAATTGTATTTAAAAAAATTTTGTAGGTATTTAAAAAGGTACAATTGCATTCCAGTCCATTTTTTTTATTAATTAAGACTTAGCTGATATAACAACAATAACAAGTAAAAACGCAGTAAGGCCGGGCCGAATTTTGAATACCCTCCACGATTTCGAACGAATTTGGAAATTTTCAAAAATAAAATCCGTTAAAAATTCTGTTAAAATCTTCAAAATACCGAACATAGCCGTTATATTGGGATATATACGACGTGGACCTACATAGACATTATTTGTCATAAGCCATTACCATATTCAAATTTAAAACTTGAAATAAACGGTGAATAATTTAGCTAAAATCATCAAAATACCGTATATAGGGAGGTACCGTTATATCGAAGCTATACGAAGACCTGAACATGCATAGACAATTTTCTGTCACAGTGCATAAAAATATTATCCTCTGCAAAATTTTTGGAGGTATTCAAAAGTACAAATAACTGATATAACAACAATAAAAACTTAATTATTGACATTGGAACTTTTTTTTAAAATTCTGATAGATCCCCTTATATTGGTATGACACATGTCTGAAGGTGTAATATGATATAGTATTTATGCGTAGTAGTAGTAATAGTAAAGCTATCTGTCTGACATGGCTATTTTTAGTGAAACTTTGCTCTCAAATGTGTATTGACCTCTCTGGCTTATTTTCATTCAAATTCGTGGCTATTATTGGACGCTGCTGATATTAATATTTATGGATCTTATCAATACTGTTTTATTTCCGTTATAATTCTACTTAATGCCACTTTTCTTTAGTTGCACCAACAACAACACCAAATTGAATAAACATGAGACCACGTGGCGTATGAATGATTGATTGATCGGTTTGTTGTTCATACGTTGCAAAGGCTATGGACCAGGAATGATGTTAAGTATGAAAATTTGCTTAAATATTTATATGTACAATACATGGATTTTGTGATAAAATTTTTGGAATATCAATACAAATCGGCTAAGAAGCCATATGGTCGGAATATCAAAACATCAGAAAATTATCATCAAGTCACTAAATTACCGAATTTCTGCGAGATGGCTAGCCACTTATAAAAAAAAAACAATGACCAAGCAAAAAATCATAGGCCGTTTGGGAAACATGATAGGCCAATAGGACGAAGTGCGGATTTCTGCATGTGAAATGTGTAAGTTTTGAGGTAGTTTTTGATAATATTTTAATTTATGTTAAAATGCCTGGGAGTAGGACAGGTATTTTATTCATGTAAACATATTTCCCTATAATATTGGGCAAGGTCTCTTTGTGTCGAACCCAAATGGCGATAATTCATTTTCTTTTGAATATTGGAAACAACAATGGAATTGACCAAGAGTTAGCTTTTAATATGAGATTAGATTGCAGAGCCTCGTTAAGACTTTCGAAGCGACAATAATACCCACAGACATAGCAGGAGAAATGACACTGCTTGAAATGATAAGATATTCCCGAGTGATTAGTGTTTTGAGTGACCATTTGATAATTAATGAGAATAATTTCTATGAATTAGAAATAATACGGTTTATTGTTTATTTTTTCAATTTATTTACATTCAGGTATGAAAATACGAATCATAACTAATTATACAGTACCATATAATACGTCAAACACCCATAAAAAGTTTTGCTAAACTAACTAAATACTGCTAAGGGTTGCTAGAACTAGAAATTCATTTTGAAATCATTTAGAATAAGAGCAAAAGGCAGCGACAAATTGAAAAAGATCCACGATTACTTGAAGGGAAGCTCTTAAACAATTTTTACAAAACCCTCTATGTTTGGGCAGAAAAATCTGAACAAATGTTTTTAACAGAGAAGTCCTTCAAAAAAATCCTTTCTTTTGACAAGAAAATTTTCGAAAAAGCCTTCATCTGATATTTTTCAGAATATTTTTTACAATGTCTTATTGAAACGAAATCGTGGAAAATCGCTTTAAGTATATCATTGAAAATACATTTATTTTTTGGTTCGAAGTAAGTAAAAATATTCAGAAAAATATCTCCGATTTTTGTTTAGAAATACCTTTGAGAAAAGTGGCAACTAGTATAACCGATTTTACAAAAAAAGAGTCACGGTTTGGTACGGATTTCGGTTCAGAGGGATAATTGGGCCATTTTACTTCGAAAATTGCCAAGGAGTGGCAGATACGTTATCGAGCCTTGGAGAAATATTCTAAAACAAGTAAGAAAAGGCTATAGTCGTGCGATGCTGACTATGTGATACCCTACAACACTGCAATATGTTAGAAGCCCCCTTATGTCTATATGGATTTGGAAGATTTCGCTTTTGAAATTAGGATTTTGACTAGGGACATTTGCCCAACATTTATGCAATCCGTCGGGCTGTTAGTTGTTGTAGTCCATTTTAAGATAAATATAATCCAGTGATCATCCAAAATGCTAGAAATCTTCCCTGTCCTTAACTCTCTTCACAGGCGTGTCGATTGGCTTCAATTGTGTGATCGGAAAAACAATTCTGTTTTTCGTTAATTTGAACCCCTTAATATTTTGCAATCATCTCGAAAAGCAAGGAGCCCCTCTGTTTCTCCAAATTTAGAGTCATCTATATGATTGCTTGTCTACGATATTTGGCTATATTCGTCAACGAAATCAGCATAGAAAAGCCAGAAACTCGGATATCGCCTGTAAGTAATGCTGGTATTTTTCACACAGAATTAGTGGTCCATTGTACCCGCTGTCCTAACTCTAACTTTATGCGATATTTCGTGTCCTTTGGTTTCTATTTGTGACCTTTATAACGGCTGCAAAATCAGGAAAATTTTTAGTTGTTGGTCCATTTAAACGCCCTAATATATTGCGGACATCTCTGAAAACAATAGGCCCAGCCCTTCTGAGCCCAAACCTACCCTTGTGAAAATTTTCGTGAGGATCGGACGATATTTGCAATACTTATATAATATCCCCAACCTGTGTTGTAAGGTGAAAAAATATTACAAAATATTATAAGTCAAATTGAAAAAATCGCATGCGATAAAAAAATATGAAAAAAAATAAAATTATGTCACAAAATAATTCAAAATCTATATTTACATCATTATTGACATCTTTTAATGCGTTTTTTAGGTTTTATACTTTTATGCCAAGAGGGCATTCTGAATTGACAAAATTTGTAAAAATCGGTCCAGCCATTCTTGAGAGAATGCTTATTCTAGCTAACATCCCCTTCCTTTGTATATACACATTGTATATATTTCGCTATATATAACCGATATATTTACTATCGGCATCTACGTAACGGTCAAAATTGACCTGTTCGTCTATTTGTGATTTCACCGGGATTAAAAATGTTCGCGGTTTAATGGAAAATTTGACTTTTATTTAATACAAATGTTGTGGCCTATTTCACCCACTAAATATTACCCGTAACCATCAAAATTGGAAGGCTTCTGCCCAGCCCTAAGCTCTAGCCCCATGCTAACTTCCACGTCGATTGGTCTATAATTGCGACCTGTAGAGCAACTGCAAAATCAGGAAATTGTTAAGTTTTTGGTCCATTTCAACCCCTAAATATCATGGGATCATCTCCAAAAACAATAGGGTTCCATTTTTAATTTCGTGATGATCGGCCCATAATTGCGACCTGTAGCGTGATTACAAATTAACATGGATAGACGGACGGACGGACAAACGTAGCTAGATCGACTCAGCTCGGCGAGATAGGAAGATTCATATATACTTTCCTATATGGGAAACCAATATTTTGAGATGTTACATAATTTTTGGTCCAATCAAACTTATAATACCCCCTACACAAAGTGTTGTAGGGATAAACATGTCCGAAATTTTGAAAAACGTAGCAACTTTTTCACTGATTTTACAAAATTTGTAGTGAATAAAAAACGAGTCACGGTTTGGTACGGATTTTCGTCAGGAGGGATAATTGGGTCATTTTACTTCGAAAATTAGCAAGGAGTGGCCGATACGTTATCGAGCGCCGATACGTGACGACCATATAACGGTACCTCCCGATATTGGGTATTCTAATGATTTTAGAGACATTATTTACCGGAACTATTTCAAATTTTGTATTTGAAGTTCGTAATGGATACTACAGCCTATGACAGAAAATTGTCTGTGCAGTTCCACGTCGTCGTATAGCCCCCATATAACGGTACCCCACGATATTCGGTATTTTGATGATTTTTGCGACATTATTTACCGGAACATTTCAAATTTTGTATTTAAAGTTCGTAATGGATACTACAGCCTATGCCAGAAAATTGTCTGTGCAGGTCCACGTTTTATAACCCCCATGGAACCTCCCTATATTCGGAATTTTGATGATTTTAGCTACATTATAAACAGATTTTTTTTAAGTTTCTCATTTGAATATTGTAATAGCTTGAGACAAAAGTTGTAGGTCCACGTCGTCGTATAGACCCTAATATACGGCTTCATTCGGTATTTTTAAGATTTTAACAGAATTTTTAACGGATTTTTTTTTTTCAAAATTTTTAAATTTGTACCAAATGGTGGAGGGTATTCAAAGTTAGGCCCAGCCGAACTTCCACCTTTTTTACTAGTTTTTTTTTTTAATTCTTATTTTATTAATTTTTAAAACTTTTATGTTATTCAACCTTTTTGTTTTATTAAAATCTATATATTTCTCAAACTTTGTGGTGGAAATTTTAATTTTTTTTTTTTAAATTTTCATAACATTTTTGCCTTTTTATCATTAAATAATTTAAATGTTTGGTTATTCACATAATTCGTACACTCATTTACACATTTAAGGATTTTCTTTTATAAATTTTATTTTTTTTGTCATTTATTTCAATATAAGGTTTTCTTATCTTGTTATTTATTGTGATTTTTTCCACTTCTTAAAAAATGTTTTTTCCACTTTTCCTTTAATTCCCACTTAATCACCTTTTCTCAGGCAAAAAAAAAAAACACCTTCTGATCACTTCTATTTCGAAAAAAATGCCTTCAATCAATTAAGAGCCATTTAACTTGGAATAAATATTTTTTTCGGTTCTGGCTTATTACGAAAGACTTCCAACATTAACGACTAGCGGCGACCTACTAACGAGGAGCGTTTTTAAAGTTTGACAATAAATTTGCACACACATACGCACTTGTGTATCACAACAACTAAAAGGCTATCATCCTATCGATGGCTAAGACAACAACAAAAAACTTGCACAATCAAACAAACCAATACACAGGTAAACACTCTCTCTCTCTCTCAGAACGAGACTATCCGTTATTTATCAATTATTTACAAAAAATAATTTATCGCTATTTTCAAATAATCTTATCAAATTTGATTTGATTTTCCAATAAAATTTTCTATTCACAACACTCGGATGTTTTCAAAATCGGCGTACTTTTTCCTTCTTGAAACTTTGGTTTATGATGAGGAAGTGTTGTATTTATAATTGAATAAAACTTATGTTTTGTTTCTTTTTTTGTTCAAAAATTCTTTCCCTAATTAATTATTATCACTTGAGTTTAATTGTCGTCACTTTGTTTCCAGCTTTGATTTTGTGCGAAAATTTTCGAGTGGAGGAGAACTTGACCGCTACTATTTCGATAGTGTGTGCGTTGTTTTTTTTTTATTTTCCATCCAGCTCGTTGAATTTGCACTAAAATGGATACAGTACTAAAAATAATATATACGATATACATCAACACATTCTCATATTAGCTCAACTATGGATTAGAAGACCAATATGCCAGTAGTCCGTTCTCTGTGTCTGGTTCCATTAAATGTTTTATGTTTTGATTTTGTTTTTGTTTGTCGAGCTTTCGATCGGATCAAAAAATATTTGGCGAGTCGTTTGAAGAAGACGCTACAATAACTAAAGATCAAAATAAATTTTTTGTACTGGGTTAAATTGAACAAGGAGGAATAACAAGAATATCTTGTCAAAAAGCATTTTAAATATAATCGTAAGCTTTTAAGGATTTTTTACATATTTTCGGAAGAAATATCAGAACTTAGAACGATATTTTATTAAAATATCTTTTGAGGGGCTTTGTAAACTCCATCGAAGGATCATTCCGGATTTTCATATCTGTGATTTATATTAAAATAATTAGGAGTTTAGAACTTTAATAAGGAATTTTCATAAAAATATCTTGAATGATTTTTTGAACTTTAATCACATATTCTTATTCGAAAATATTTTTTTTTTGTTTGACTTAACAGCTGTTGTCGCAGATTTTTGTAAAAATAGCGAATTTTTTATTAAAAAACTATTGTCAGGACTTCAAACGAAGACTTTTAAAAATCTATTTTGTACAGAATGCGTATTTTTATTAAAGTATCAGAGCTTCAAACTTGAATTTCATTAAAATAATATTGAAGAACTGTCATAGCTTCATGCGTACTTTTATTAGAATAATTTTTGGAGTGCTTTAAGAGCTCCAAACGTAGATATTTATTAAAATTCTTTTAAAGAATTTCCATAGGACTTTCATAGTTTCAATGACTTTTAGACCTATAAACTTGAATGTTTACTCAAATATGTTTAATGGCCTTCAAAGCTTCTAACGTGAATTTTAACAAAAATATTCGGGCAAAGGGTTTTGGAGCTTCAAACATGGATTTTTATTAACATATTTTTTTTAGGAATTCCAGAAACCAATAGTGACCTCAATATCAAATTTCAGAATTTCAACTCTATCCGTTCGCCCAATACCCAATTTAGTACCACTTAGAACTTTTCGAACAATTGTAGTTTACAATTCCAAAACAACTTCCATATCTCAATTCAAGATACAAACAGAGACCTCAACATCAAATACCAGCTCTTCCCAATTTAGTACCATTTAGTACTTTTCGTACAATTACAGGGTGAGATAAAAAAACTGCAACAAAGTCAAACGCCATAATTATTAAATTTTATTGAATGAAAGCAAAAATTGTCGGAAATAGCATCAAATTTTAGAATAAGTTTAGATTTGTTCGAATTGGTCACCTTTGGCACGATTTATGGCCTTCAAACGGCCAATGAAACCGTCACACGCTGCCCTAATGTTGCTCTGCCGTATTTTAGCCTATTCCCGGCGAAGCGCATGCTTGAGGTGATTGACACTTTGGTATTTTTTAGTGCCAACCTTGCTTTCTAAAATACGCCAGACACAATAGTTCAACGTATTGGTATCCGGAGATTTAGGTGGCCATTGTGCGTTGGAAATGAAGCGAGAAACCTTATTGTGTAACCATTCTAGAGTGGCGCGTGTTGAGTGCGAGGGTGCTGAGTCCTGTTGGAATGTCCCAGGCTTGCGGCCAAAATGTTTGCGTGCCCAAGCCTTTAATACACCCTCCAGAATATTTTGGTAATAATATTCGGCATTTATTCTGATGCCACGGCCGACTAATTACAGCGGAGAGCGACCATCGGCTGTTATGGCGGCCCACACCATCACCATGTAGCGGGGCTTGAGTTCTGTTGGCCAACAAAAGGTGCACATTTTCAGCTGACCTCTTTGGCAAGTATACACGATCATTTGTTCGTTTGTTTACAAACTGTTGGACAACGAATGTTTTCTTTTCGGAGCGGAGAAAACCAAATTCGGCAGTTCACCCCTTTCAGCCAAACGAAGCAACACTTTAGCTCGTTTGAGTCTATTTTCCTTCTGTTGCAGTGTAAGTTCTTGCACATTTCGGAATTTCAATGGCTTTACCCCGAGCTCAGTTTTCAATATTTGCCGAATGGAATATTGCGATATGTTCAGTTCACGAGCCATTTTTCGGGCACTGCGACGCAGTTTTCGATCAAGTCGCTTCCTTACTTTTCGAACCATTTTTGCTGATGTTGCTGTTTTCTTCCGTCCACTTCTACCACCTTGACGTCGGGCTACGCTACTTGTATCACAGTACCGAGCGATGCTGGAGTGCTCTAACGGTAGCCTCTGGTGGATTTCCAGCCAAATATAAATAAATCACACTATCACGATTGAAATCCATTACGAATATTTTTTTTCCGGAAAATTCTCACCAAAATGCTTTTGTACGCTTTTAAGCAATATAATGAGGAATAATTTTAACAGCTGTCGGACGAGTGGCTTTGAAATGACAACAGTCTGAATTTGGTTGCAGTTTTTCCATCTCACCCTGTATAAACCCTCTGTAGCCATATGGCCATATTCTGAATCACGAATTTCCAAATTCACCTCCTAATCTAAAAGTAACACACTCATACCTCATTATTTCAACCCAACCTAACAGGAGTGACCGTAAGTCCGCATTACCTCAATCCGTGCACCCAAAACCAAATTTAGTACTAGTTCTTACATTTAGTACATATTTCTAAAACTACTTCTAATGTCAACAAACTTTTTGTTTATAATCCGAGTCCATGTGAAGATTTTAGCTCTATCCGTTCACATGATATTAGTGATTTTTTATAACCTTTGGTACATCCTTATTGCAATTGTCAGAATTCTATTTTTAATATTTTTTTTTTTTCGAATTTCCAAAAAATCCAGACTTAAGAAGAAAATCTGGAGATAACTTTCCGTATCTGAAATGGTCAATTCTACTCCGTAAAACCATTTATTCCACAATGCCGATTATAGCGCACATTCGGGTAATTTTAAAACATCCATCCATCATTGTTGTACTTGAATTGTAATGCTATTGTCAAACATTATTCGGTGCTATTTTTATTGTTGTTGTTGCTGTCGTTGGGGTTTAGAGCAAACAAACGATTTTTGGTGTGCGAGTGTATGTGTGTGAGTGCTTTCTTCTCTGATTGAATTTGTTTGTGTTAGTGTGCGAGTTGTGTGTATTCAACTAATGCTCATTTCCAACCTGTATTTGTCAGACAATTACTTAACTAATAATTGTTGGTAGTGACACAGACATTCATTCGAATCGCAGTAGGTCGTGGTTACTCGGCAGAGAGAGAGAGCAAATTGATAATTCGGATTGATGATGACGATGATGATAATAATGGTGAGAGTACAATGGATATTTCTTCTCAGAGGTTTTGGAATCTGATACATATGTTATCATCAACGCATTATTGTTTTTTCAATATTTTATTGGGCGTGAGAAGAAAAGTCTCATTGTTAATTAAGTTGTAAGGTAATTGAATGCCTTTAGCGACATCGGCAAGCTAGGATCTTGAGTTTTTGCACTAGTGCTGACAAGAGGTGAAATATAGGGATTTTTTTTAATTCGTGCATTAAGGGAAATAAAAGATTAAAATCTCTCATCATCTCTATTGAGCTATTGATAATGGCTGGAACTTGGAATTTTTTCATGTGGGTTGCTTGAGTGAATGAAGAAGAACTTTTGGAAATTCGTACTTTAAGGGTACGTAAAATACATGAATTTACCAAATGGTAAAAAAATTGTTAATGATCGATCGATAAGAGATTAATATTGGAAATTGAGCTTTAGGACGCTTTTCGCAGAGGGATAAACTACATTGAAATTTTCGGAACATTCTAAGGATACGAAAAGACCTAAAGCAATTAAACATTGTTATTGAGCTATCAATAGGTGCGAGAACTTTGACATTTTGCAAGAGGGTACCACTTCGGTGACATACGACTGGCTATTTGAAAGTACCTATAATAATGGTACAAAAAGTACTAAAGCTTCAAAATTGCAAACATTGATACTATGCGATGGGTATTAGCTAAAATTTTGAAATTTGACATTGTGTGTTATAATTTTGTGTATAAGGTTGAGATATGCGGAATTTCGTAACTTCGTTCATTTATGGTGCATAATGTTCTAAAAGGTATAACATGGCAAAATCTGGCTACTGATGGTCTTTTTGTAGAGTACATATTGCGTATAAAGCTACAACATAGTAAACATGCTTATTAATCGTTCGATAAGAGTTAGAGTTTCGAAAATTTGAATGGAGTTCGCTATTGGTGCAGAGAAAGAAGAAAATTACTAAAAGACAACAAGTAGTACAATATATTTTATACCCTCTGCCATATGGCTAGAGAGGCTATGTGAGATGAAAAAACTGTAACCAATTTCAGACAGCTGTCATTTATAAGCCACTCGTCCGACAGCTGTTAAATTTATTCCAGTGACAGCTCAATATATTGTTAACAAGCGAACAAAAGCATTATGGTGAGAATTTTCCAGAAAAAAAGTTATTCGTTATTCGGAATTCAACCGTGATGGTGTGATTTCTCCAGCATTTAAATGTGAATAAATCTTTTGTGTCTCATCATCGTACCATCGCCGGTTACCGTGATACTGTTCGCGTAGCCCGACGTCAAGGAAGTGGACGGAAGAAAACAGCATCGTCAGCAGAAGTGGATCGAAAGTAAAGAAGCGACTTGATCGAAACCCGCGTCGTAGTGGCCGAAAATGGCTCTTGAGCTGAACATATCGCAATATTCCATTCGGCAAATGTTGAAAAATGAGCTCTGGGTAAAGCCATCGGAATTCCAAAACGTGCAAGAACTTACACCGCAAAAGAGAGAAAATAGACTCAAAAGAGCTAAGAGTTGCTTCGCTTGGCCGAAAGTGGTGAACTGCCGAATTTGGTTTTCTCCGCTCCAATTAGAGAATATTCGTTGTTCAGCAGTTTGTAAACAAACAAAATGATCGGGGCTACTTGCCGAAAGAGGTCAGCTGAAAATGTGCACCTTCGGCTGGCCACCAGAACTCAAGCGCCGGCCATGGTGATGGTGTGGGCCGCCATAACAACCGATTGTCCCTCTCCGCTCGTATTAATCGATCGTGACATCAGAATTAATGCCGAATATTATTGCGAAAATATTCTGGAGGGTGTATTAAAGCCTTGGGCACGCAAACATTTTGGTCGCAGACCTTCAAACAGCACCATCGCTCTCAGCACGCGCCACCCAAGAATGGTTACAAAATCAGGTCCCTCGTTTCATTTTCAGCGCACAATGGCCACCAAAATCTCCGGATACCAATCCGTTGGACTATTGTGTCTGGAGTATTTTGGAAAGCAAGTTGTGACGGTTTCATTGGCCGTTTGAAGGCCATAATTCGTACCAAAGGTGAGCAATTCGAACAAATCTAAACTTATTTTAAAATTGAATGCTATTTCCGACTTTTTTTTGCTTTCGTTCAATAAAATTTAAAACAAATGTAAAAATTATATCCTTTGACTTTGTTGCAGTTTCTTTATCTTTCCCTGTATGATTGTGTGTATAAAAAAAATTAAAAATATTAAAAACATTATATTTTTTTTTTGAAAAAATCCAAAGCCATTTACCTGATTTTTCAAGCTTTTTTTCAAAATCAAAATAAAACTTAGATTTTTCAGGAAAAAATCTTAAATGTGGCAAAAAACTGAACTACATACACTTTTTTGATAAATATTAATTAGTACATTTTGCCATTCAACAGCATTTTGTTGTGTCTGAAAATATCCGTCAACACATTCAATAGCAACATGTTGCTGCAACATGTTTTATTGCCCTTATCACGGAAAATGTATTATCAATTTGCTGATAAGCCAATTGTTTATCTCAATGACTGGCCGACATGATTCTAACTGTGGCAAGAAACCCCAGGCAAAAAACGCCATAACTTTACAGCAAAGCACGGCTACAGGTGTTGGGGCCAACATAAAACTTTGAGAATATTAGTCATATCGTGGCCTTAATACCAACAACGACAAATTTACGAAACGATCAAGTTGCGAATTCTTACTTTTGTGTTTTCAAAGGGCTTTCTCCGGGCAGCGAAACGCAAAGGGTGTAAGGAAGTTTGAAAACCAATTAAAAAAAAGAAGAAGAAAAAATTAAAACGATGTTTAATGAGAATTGTTTTTTAAAAATTTTGAACCAATAAATAAATTAAAAAAATAAGTTAATAAGTGAACGAAAAGAAAACTAAGTAAAATGCCCGTACCAAATCGTACCTCGGATTTATCAGCTATAGCGGTTAATACAAATATTCCGGATGGTTGGTGTGACAAAATGTGGTGCTAAAAAAAATTTGTAATGAGTGAATTATTTTTTCTTGGTTTTGGATCATTTGCAGATAGTGTCGATTGTGGAATACGCGTTTTGGGCTGGTGTCGCGGCCCCTCGTGCCAGAAATATGCTCGTCTGCGAACTTTCGTCATTGTCTTGGCCTGTGCTGGCCTCTTACAGGGCATGTGTGAAACATATTTTCGCATATCGGCCAAACAGGCAGCATTGGATAATGATTGGAATCCCCTGATTGTGGGTGAGTTTGAAAATTTTGGATTTATCCATTCGAAGGTTGCTTGTTGTTGTTAATCCAAAGAATTGCAAAAAATTGTTCGGGTGTTTGTTGTTATTTATAATGTCACTATTGTTATCAAATAGGGGTTGTGTACATTCATAGATATCGTCAAAAAAATGTTATTAAATACCCTCGTTTCCGGGCTTATCAATTTGTCATACATTTAACTCTCGTTCAGATCGATTTTAGTTGTTTGTATGAGTAATATTTGTTTTTGGTGAAATAAATGAAAGAAATTAATAGTTTGATCAAAAATTGATTGCTGGGAGGTAAAATAGTAATCGAAGGGGCGCGGAAAAATTTGTAAGATTACATTTACCTTGAGGGGGAGGGGGTGTTTTACCTTGATTGTGAAATTATTAATACATTTACCCTAAAAAAATGTAGATAATCAAAACATACAGGGTGAGATAAAAAACGGAAACAAAGTCAAAAGCCATAATTTTTACATTTTTTTTTTAAATTTTATTGAAGGAAAGCAAAAAATGTCGGAAATGGCATCAAATTTAAGAATAAGTTAAGATTTGTTCGAATTGGTCACCTTTGACACGAATTATGGCCTTCAAACGGCCAATGAAACCATGACACGCTGCCCGAATGTTGTTCTGCGGTATTTTGGCCCATTCCCGGCGAAGCGCTTGCTTGAGGTGATCGACCTTTGGTATTTTTTAGTGGAAAAAATTGCTTTCCAAAATACTCCAGACACAATAGTCCAACGGGTTGGTATCCGGAGATTTTGGTGGCCATTTTGCGCTGGAAATGAAGCGAGGAACCTCATTCTGTAACCATTTTTGGGTGGCGCGTACTGAGTCCTGTTGGAATGTACAAGGTCTGCGGCCAAAATGTTTGCGTGCCCAATACACCCTCCAGAATATTTTCGCGATGATATTCTGCATTTATCTAATGCCACGGTCGATTAATACGAGCGGCAGTTATGGCGGCCCTCACCATCACCATGGCCGGCGCTTGAGTGCGATGGTGCTGAGTCCTTTTGGAATTTCCAAGGGCTGCGGCCAAAATGTTTGCGTGCCCAAGGCTTTAATGCACCCTCCAGAATATTTTCGCAATAATATTCGGCATTTATTCTGATGCCACGGCATTTATTCTAATACGAGCGGAGAGCGATCATCGGCTGTTATGGCGGCCCACACAATCACCATGGCCGGCGCTTGAGTTCTGGTGGCCAACCGAAGGTGCACATTTTCAGCTGATCTCTTTGGCAAGTAAACACGATCATTTTGTTTGTTTACAAACTGCTGGACAACGAATGTTCTCTCATCGGAGAAAACCGAATTCGGATAAGCGAAGAAACTCTTTAGCTCTTTTGAGTCTATCTTCTTTCTGTTGCGGTGTAAGTTCTTGCACTTTTTGGAATTTCAATGGCTTTACCCCGAGCTCATTTTTCAATATTTGCCGAATTGTATATGTTCAGCTCACGAGCCATTTTTCGACCACTGCGATGCGGCTTTCGATCAAGGCACTTCTTTACTTTTCGAACCATTTATGCTGATGTTGCTGTTTTCTTTCGTCCACTTCCTTGACGCGCCACCCAAGAATGGTTACAAAATGAGGTTTGTCGCTTCATTTCCGGCGCAAAATGGCCACCAAAATCTCCGGATACCAATCCGTCGGACTATTGTGTCTGGAGTATTTTGGAAAGCTATGTTGGCATAAAAAAAAATACCAAAGTGTCGATCACCTCAAGCAAGCGCTTCGCCGGGAATGGACCAAAATACCGGGCAGCGTATTACGGTTTCATTGGCCGTTTGAAGGCCATAATTCGTACCAAAGGTGACCAATTCGAACAAATCTAAACATATTCTAAAATTTGATGCTATTTCCGAGATTTTTTTGCTTTCATTTAATAAGATTTAAAAAAAAAAATGTAAAAATTTTGGCGTTTCACTTTGTTACAATTTTCTATCTCATCCTGTATAGAGATGTACCAAACATGAATGAAATCGGATGTTAATTTCTCGTTTTATGAACTTCGTGGATATTCAAAATTTTGGCCATTTGTGGGGGAGGTACCAGAGAGGGTGGACCGATATATTCCATCTTTACACCAGACCTTGGGTTAATAAAAATATTGTGATGTGTGCAATTTGAAGACAATCGGACACTTACATCACATTATATACGAGGGAGAGATACTGGATGGAGTGGACCGATACTGTCCATTTTCACACCTGAAATAGCAAAAATGCAATATTAGGATTTGCAAAGTTTGAGCAAGATCCAATTATCGTTTCTCTTTCTGTGCAAAAAAATATTTTTTGAAAATTTCGACCTATTGTGGGGAGGTAACCAGAGAGAGAGAGAGAGAGAGAGAGAGAGAGAGAGAGAGAGAGTGAACGTATATATTTCATCTTAACACTAGACGTTGGGTTGATAAAATTATTGGAGTGTGTGAAATTTGATCAGACTCTTACATCACATTTAATAAGCGTTGTAATTATTCAATATTTTGACCGTTTGTGGGGGAGGTACTTGATAGAGTGGACCGACATTGTCCCTTTTCGTAATTGACGTAGCGCTGACGGAAATATTAGGATTTGCAAAGTTGAAGCAAAATCGGATTATTGTTTCTCTTTCTGTGCAGTAAAACATTTTTTTTGAAAGTTTCGACCTTTTGTGGGGGAGTTAGCCAGAAAGAGTGGACCGATATTATCCTTTTCAGAAATCGATCTAAGTTTGATAATAATATTACGATGTACTAAGTTTGGACCAATTCGGACACTCCCTTCGAGAGTTATTATTATTATTATTTTTAAACGGGCGGACATCGCTAGATCGACTTCAATTGTCCTAAAACGGATTTGGTCCAAAGAGACCTAGGGTCCAAAACCCTTATTTCGATGAGGCACTTTTTGGTCTTATCAAGTAATATATTTATTTAGGCCATATGATAAATAATCCTAAATATACACTGTGCGACAAAATTTAAGTTTTTTCCGTTATCCTCCAGAATATGAATGTAGTAACCTAAATAAAGCAAGTAAGTCCTCCACTTGCACATTTTTTAGTGTATCCGTAAATACAGACAACGGATTACTTTGGGAGAAAATGTTAACCTCAAGCGAGTCAACAAAGGGGTATTTTGGATCCTTGTTTTGAAACATGGTTTAAAATCCCTTTAAATGAGATCGTAGCAAGTCAAAATATTCTACAAAATTATTATTTGTTATAAAATTCCAGAATACATCTGAAGTCTAAATGTTACTTAAACACCAGCAATTCATGAATTTTTAAAAATATTTTAGGGTTAAAGCCGTTTTTCATATGAATTTATGCTAAATTCTCCTACAAAGCATAATTGTAGAATGATGACGTCCAGGACATTTATCAAATTTCACTTAAAGTCACCGGAGAAAAAAGTCTCTATTTTCATTATATATTAATGATATAAATCTTTTTCAATTTCGTCAAAAAAAAAAACACAAAATAAAATATTTTTCCTTTTTCCATGGCTATTTCTTCAGGGCTTTTTCGAGTTGACGTCCGAAAGTAACCTAAAATTCTTTGAAAAATATTTTTATTTTTTAAAAATTCTTTAAAAAAAATCCTAAAAACACAGTTTTTATTAATCTCTTATTCATTTTTCTTTTCCAGAATGGCTCCTGGTAAGCAGTGGAATATTTCAGGCCATATTCGCTCTGGCTTTTGCCTATTGGGCCCATCGAATACATCCGATTAGTTGGTTGGGTGGTGTTATAATTTTACAAGGTTTGACCTGTATCATATCAATGCTGCCATCGATAATGAATTTGTAAGTGTAATTTATTCACTTTCCGATACCTTCCCAAATAGACCTATTTCCTTAATTTTACAGTGCTGATGGCGTGCGTTACACAGACACAGCCGAGGAGGATAGTATTTGTGCCACAACATGGCAAACGGGCAAATTGCTGTCGGTGGAGAACAGCAAGTTATTAATTTTGGCTATGCTCTTCGTGCTGCAGTTTGCCCTGGGTCTGGGATCTTTGGCCTTCTATACGATTGGCATAACTTACATAGATGATAATTCCGATTCCATTGATAGTCCTGCCGTTATTGCCACGGCCTTTGGGGCCAAAATTGCCGGGTTGCAAACAGGTTCCATGTTGGTGCTGGGTGTGGGAGCCATTGGTCTGGGCTGGTGGTTGGGTTGGGTTATATTGGCTCCTTTGGTTATTGTCACTGGCATCCTACTGGGTCTCTTCCCAAAACAATTACCCAAAACCGTGATACATCAAGCTGCCCAACGAATTATCGAAGAGAGTCGTAGTCGTCAGTTTGGTAGTCAATTCTCCACCTACATTGATGACACGGCATTTGGCCCCTCGGTGAAGAGGGTCTTTGGCAATAAACTGCTGATGTTCAATATTCTCAGCGTCATGTTTATACAATCGGCCACAATAAATTTTTCCCTGCAAGAGGAAAATTATTTACAATCCCGCTTCTATTTGCCCTTTAGCGAGGAGGATGGCCTCGAACAGGAATGGCGTTCACGTTTCATATCGTTCTTTTTGAAACCGGCGGCTGCAGCCATAAGCATGTTTCTGGGAGGACTTGTCATATCCAAAATGAAATTGAGCGGAAGGTAAGGGATTTAAATTGAGATAATTTAATAAGTAATCATAATTTTTTTGTTTCCAGAAAAATAGCCTCCATCAACATAGGCATGTGCGTCAAACTGCTGGCCATCTACATAGCCTATATATTTATAAAATGTGAAGTTGGACCCCTTGCCGGTGTTACAAATGGCAAAATTGAACAGCCAGCCTGCTCGAGAAATTGTATCTGCACTCCAACCTCATTTATGCCAGTTTGTCCGGAAAACTCCACTGTGACATATTTTGCACCCTGTTATGCGGGATGTACCAGGAAGACTGTTATTAATAGTGTTGAGGTATGTATGGACATCATAAACAAAATACTCTGAGCCCAATATGGTATGGACACAGGGTATTTTGAGTAGCAGATGATAATCTTCTGTTTGTTGGTTTGTTTGGAAAAAAGGAGGAGAACATAGAGCCAAGCTTTTACATAAATGTACTTCGAGGCCGGGTTTGTAATAAAAGGGTACAACAAATACTAAAATTTACTTAAAACTGAACACTTTGTGTTGGACAAACGGAATAAGCCAGAATTGTGGAATGAGAGTCACTGATGAAGTGCTGGATAGATGTACCAAAGAGTTTTTGGAAATACGAAGGTTACGAAAAGCCCTAAAATGGTGTTGAGTGAACACATAGAGCTAAAAACTTAAAATGTGGCATGAGAATCAATTCTTAACAAGTTAAAAAAGCAATAAGTTCGGTCGGGCTGAACTTTGAATACCATTCACCATTTGGAAATTTTGAAAAAATAAAATCCTTAAAAAATTCTGTTAAAATTTTAAAAATACCGAATATAGCCGTTATGTTGGGGTCTATACGGCGTGGACCTACATAGGCATTGTTTGTCATAAGCCATTACCATATTCAAATTCGAAACTTGAAATAAACGGTGAATAATGTAGCTAAAATCATCAAAATACCGAATATGGTGGGAGGTACCGTTATATCGGAGCTGTGCGAAAACCTGGACCAGCATAGACAATTTTCTGTCACAGGCTATAGCATCCATTACGAACGTCAAATACGACATCTCAAACAATTTCGGTGGGTATTGTACCTAAACTCGTCAAAATACCGAGTATAGGGAGGTACTGATATATGGGGCCTATGCGCAGACCTGGACCTGCATAGAAAATTTTCTGTCACAGACAGTAGTTTGCATTACGAACTCCAAATATGTAATCTGAAACAATTCCGGTGAATAATGAAGCTAAAATCATCAAAATACCGAATTTTGGGAGGTACAGTTATATGGGGGCTATACGAAGACGTGGACCTGCACAGACAATTTTCTGTCACCGGCTGTAGTATCCATCACGAATTTCCAATACTAAATTTGAAACAATTCCGGTGAATAATGCCGCTAAAATCATCAAAATACCGAATATCGGGAGGTACCGTTATATGGGGGCTATGCGAAGACGTCGACCTGCACAGACAATTTTCTGTCTTAACCTGTAGTATTCATTTCGAACTTCAAATTTTAAATTTGAAACAATTCCGGAGAATAATATCGCTAAAATCGTCAAAATACAGAATATCGGGAGGTACCGTTATATGGAAGCTATACGAAGACGTGGACCTGCATAGACAATTTTCTGTTACCGGCTATAGTATCCATTACGAATTTCAAATACCAAATTTGAAACAATTCCGGTGAATAATGTCGCTAAAATCATTAAAATGCCGAATATCCGGAGGTACCGTTATATGGGGGCTATATGAATACGTGGATCTACATAGCCCAATTACGAACTTAACCTGCCTACTGGAAAAATAAACACGTGTGCAAAATTTTAGCCTTCTATCTCAATTCATTTGAAAGATAACGTGATTACAACAGACAGACAGACGGACAGACAGACATGGCTAAATCGACTTAGAATTTTACTCTGATCAAGAATATATATACTTTGTTACTATATACTACTTATATAGTATGTTGGAGGGTATACAAATGGGAAATGGGTGATTTTGAAAATGTGTGCAAAGTGTAACAACTGCAGAGAATGATACTAGATTCGGTACAATTTGGTTTTTGTTGAACAGAAGAAGCTGGTAATTTGAAATGTTGGTATTCGGGTCCCTTTTGGTAATAGGTTTGTGATATAGAGGTGGTTTTGGAAATGTGTACCATAAGTGCATGAAAAGTACTAGATAGTACTATATTTGGTGCAACATGACATTGGGTGAAAAGATAGTGCTTGAATTCTGAAATTTGGTTTTAGGGTAGCGTTGGAGGTGGTTTCGGAAATGTGTACTATAATTGTACGAAATGTACTGAATGGTAATAAATTTGGTAAAATTTTGAAATTTGATATTTAGATTACTGATAGTATCTTTGTATGAAATGTGACGATGGTTTGGAATTGAGTCGTATATTTGTACAAAAAGTACTAAATGGTACTAAATTTGGTGTTGGATGAAGGAATAACCAAATGTACTAAATTTGGCTTTAGTTGAAGGGATAGAGATAAAATTCTGAAATTTGATATTCAGATGACTGATGGTATCTGTGTATGAAATGTGACGGTGGTTTGGAAACGAGTCCTATATTGGTACAAAAAGCACTAAATTTAACTAAATTTGGTATTAGATGAAGGGATAGGGCGGGAAACCTGAAATGTGATACAGATTTCACTGTTGGTGTCTGTGGTTAAGATATTTGTACGAAAAGTACTACTATTTAGTCTTGGTTGCAGGGAACGAGATAATATTCTAAAATTTAATATTTAGATAATTTTTGGTATATAAGGAAGAGATTTGGAGGTTATTCTTGAAATGTGTAATATTGTATAAATAGATATGGAGCTGAAATTCCGAAATTTGATATTTAGGTCACTGTTGGTTTCAAAATTTAGTACGATGTTTGAAGTTTTGATTAAATAATTTTCTCAAAGTGGACAAATTATGCATTTTGATGACTAACAGGTATAACAATAAAACTTCGCCAAAAACAAATAATTACAGGAATGCATATAGGCATACTCCCTCCCTTCCACATTTTTTATACCCTCAGCCATATGGCTATATCATTTGATACGGCCAAAACGTGACTCACCGAAATAATAGTTTTAGACCCTAGGTTTCTTTGGACCAAATCCATTTTAGGACATTTGAAGTCGATCTAGCGATTTCCGTCCGTCCATCTGTCTGGCTGGTGCGCACGATAGCTCCCGAAGGCAATATCCGATTTGATTTAAACTTGGTACATCGTAATATTATCGGCAAACTTAGATCGAGTTCGGATATGGACAATATCGGTGTACTCCTTCTGATACCTTACCCACAAAATATCAAAATTTTCAAAATGTTGCTCCAACTTTGCAAATCTTAACACTTGCATCGGTGCTAGATCAGGTGTGAAAATGGACAATATCGGTCCACTCCATCAAGTACCTCCCCCACATGGGGTCTAGATTTTGTATAATTATAACTCTTATAAAGTATGATGTAGGTTTCCGATTGTCTTCAAATCACACACTTCTAAATATTTTTTATAAATCAAAGGTCTGGTGTGAATATGGGATATATCGTTTCACTCTTTCTGGTCCTCCCCTAATCGTTTCAAATTTGGTCCTCAAAATTTTGAATATCCATGAAGCTCGGTTATAAAATCCGAAATAAGCATCAGACTCTCTTTATATTTCATACATCCCATTTTTTCCACTAACAAAAGATCTATTGTGAAGATGGGATAAATTAGTCCACTCCTTCTGGTACCTCCCCCACAAAGGGTCAACATTTTGGATAACTATGAAGCTCATAAAACGAGAAACTAACATCTAAGTCCATTGAGACTTGGCACATCTCACTATTTCTATCAACACAAGATATGTTATCAAGGTGCAAGAGATCGGACAATACCTTCTGGTACCTCCCCCACAAAGGCTCAAAGTTTTGTATAAACAAACGATTATAAAATCCGAAATCAGCATTTGTCCCCTTCATATTTCACACATCCCATAATTTCTACTGACAAAAGATCTGCTGTGAAGATGGGACATATCGGTTCACTCTTTCTGGTCAAAATTTTGAATTCCCATGAAGCTCATAAAACGCGAAATTAACATTCAAGACTTGATACATCTCAATATTTCCATCAACACAAGATCTGTTATAAAGATGGTAGAGATCGGACCAATTATTCTGGTACCTCCCCCACATAGGGCTCACGATTTTGTAAAACAAAACGTTCAAGGAAAGCGAAAGAAGCATTTTTGTACATTTTTGCTAACCCCTTCAGGTTTTGTACCCACAAAGGGTCACAATTTTCAATACATTTATCTGCCAACTTGCTATATCTGAATATTTCTCTAAACCAGATACTTGAGATGAATATGAAATTTATGATTCCGCATAAAATTGGATATACATTTTCGATTTTCTTGTAATTTTGCTCATACCAAAATTGGCCCATTCTCTCAGAACCTACTTGATAGAGGGTCAACAATTTGAATAATCATAACAGAAGTCAAAATATATATAAATAATAGAATATTGGCTGAAGGTATACATCTGTCGGCAAAACGGTTACGACGGTTACCTTTTAACTTGGTTTTGTAGAATAAGTTTTTAAAGGAGAGTGTTTTTTACATCCAAATCTTCTTTCCCCAAATCTTCTTGGTCATGGCAATCTTTTTTAATAATTAATATATATTTTTTCCTTTTTTAATTCAGTTATTTGAAGGCTGCAGTTGTGGTGGAACGGATAATTATGAAATGGATTTGACGAATAGTAAACGAGCTACGCTGGGGGCGTGCAGTGGTGAAAAATGTAGCTCAATGTTGTGGATATTCCAAATGCTAAGTATCTCTGCGGGAGTGGTTTATGGCATCACAACGATAGGAAAGATTATAATAAGTCTGAGGAGTGTTCTGCCACAAGATAAGGGCTTGGCGCTGGCAATGGAAGTGATGTTGGTGGGTTTGTTTGCCTACGTTCCGGTACATTTGGCCTATGATGTGGTGTCACGTAAGTAGTTGTCACTTTTTATATTTTTCTATATTAAATTCCGCTTTCCCCCTCAGGTGCCACCTGCATTTACTGGGCTCCGCATTACACCCAATGTCTGCTGCGCGAAACTCCCAAACATGGCAATATTTTGGATATTTTATCGGCCAGTTTAATATTTGTCGGATTGATATTCGACATTTTTGTGTTTATTTACATTAAAGGTCTGAATATCTACAATTGCAAAGTTACGGATCACAATTACACACCCTCGCTGTACTCGGCTGTGCCACAAGGTGATCCCACTCATACCGCTGCAGGAGGTAGTCCGGTGACAACAATGACAACGGTATCCCGGCAAGCACCACCACCACAACCCAATAGGCCGGCTCCGAAACCAGAAATTACCGTATTTCGCCAACCCAGTACCTTGACCAATTCTTCCGGTGGTGGCAGTAGCATTGTGGAGCCACCAACCAATGGTGTAACCTATGCCCAAGTGGTATTTCCACCCGATAAACGTAAACCCAATGATGGTAGTGCCAGTCCCAAACGTATGGCTGTGAGGGCCGATGTTCCTCTGCATCATTTATCGACCGATGATGTTCGAGCCCAGTTGAGTAATTTGAAATCATTTAATCCGCAAGCAAACGGCACAGCAACAACGGCAATGACAAACGAACAAAATAATAATAATAACAACAATAATAATAATCCAGTGCCAGCAGTAAAGAGTTCAACCGGTGCCATACCCAAGAGGCCAATGGAAACCGATTTAGATGCCATTCGACCACAAAGTCCTGAAACGGATTTTTAATTTTTAACGATTTCATGACTTAATTTAAATTTAATCACTTTTTATATTTTTTATAAATACTATTTTCTGATACATCTACAGATCTACGTTCACGGACTCATTTCCCATGCCATAATACATACATACTTATATAACAACCTATTTCGAATTCAATATTTTCAAAATAATTAGTAAGATAGCTAAGCATATTTTGTATCTACACACATTCTAAAATAAAGTGTATGCCATGGAAGATAGCAAAAATGCTATCAAAAAAAAAAAAAAAAAAAAAAAGGCAAGTCCGAACTCGTTTTACTCTCCACCATTTGGAAGAAACTTTAAAATTTTCAAAAAAAAAAAATTTGTCGAAAATGAAAATCTTTATATGGGAGCTGTACGAAGATGTGGTGCTGGATAAGTAATTTTTTGTAATAGGCTGCAGTAACGATTCCGAAATTCAGATACGAAATTTGATGCAATTTCGGTGACAAGGTTCGATTAAATCATCAAAATACCGAATAATGGGGAGTACCGTTGTATGGGGCTATACGAAGGCGTGGACCTGCACAGACAATATTTGGGCATGGGCTGTAGTGTCCATTACAAACTACGAATACGAAATTTGAAACAATTCAGGTGAATAAAGTTGCTAGAATCCTCAAAATACCGAATATCGGCAGGTACCGTTATATGGGGGCCATACGAAGACGTGGACCTGCATACGAAATTTTTAGGCATAGGCTGTAGTACCCATTACAAACTTCGAATACGAAATTTAAAGAGAGGGAGCTATAATATTGCACTGATTTCTGCATGCAGGTCAAGTTTGAAGATGGGCTATATCGGTCCACGATATACAGAAAATTGCCTATATAGATTCAGGTCTTCGTATAGGCCCCATAATCAGTACGTCTCTATATTCGGTATTTTGACGATTTACTTCTTGCATTGGTATTACGAGCAGAGCTACAATAACAAAATTTAGATATAGGGTCACTAATGACATTTTAAAGGTACGTGTACGTAAACGTACAGTGTGCGTAAAGGTACTAAGTTTGGTACATGGAAGTATGGGAAACGTGGTTAGAAAGTAAGATTGACATTAGGTTTTTGCCTATGAATTCGAGTTAATTGTAGGAATTGTACCTAGAGCTACAAAATTTGAAAACATTTGGTATCGGCTATAGCTGGAATCCTGTCATTTGATATTAGGGTCATCTCTGTTGTTTGCGGTTGAGGAAGAACTTGGTTTTGAACATTTCCGCTATAAAGACCATTAAAATTGATACTTTTTAGTATTGGACGAACGGTTTGGTATAGAATTCAGAAATTCGATTTTAGGGCCACAGTTGGGGTGTAGGCTTGAGATTAGAAATTTGGTCTAAAAAATATATACTCTCCAGGTATAGAACGTATTCGCTCCGATAGCCCTTTTAAATAATTTTTAAGAACTATTCAAGTTTTTGTCGCCAAAGTCATTCAAAAAAATTCCTAGATTTCAATTCATTGAAGAAGAAAACGGTCTTCTTTTCGGATAATAAAAAGTTATCTCATTAAAGTCAGAATATCGACTCAGAGAAGAAAAGAAGGTCTTCTGACAGAAGATGTGGAGGCGTTCTGACAGAAGATCAGAATGTCGTCTTCTCATAGAAGATCTGAAGGTCATCTTCTCATAGAAGAGCTGAAGGTCGTCTTCTCATAGAAAAGCTGAAGGTCGTCTTCTCATAGAAGGCCTGAAGATCTTCTAATGGAAGGCCTAAAGGGTTCTAATAGAAGAGTTCAAGGTCAGATGGTCTTTTCATAGAAGACCGAAGGTCTTCTCATAGAAGAGTTCAAGGTCAGATGGTCTTTTCATAGAAGGCCGGAAGGTCTTCTCATAGAAGGCCAGATGGTCTTCTCATAGAAGGCCAGATGGTCTTCTCATAAAAGGCCAGATGGTCTTCTCATAAAAGGCCAGATGGTCTTCTCATAGAAGGCCAGATGGTCTTCTCATAGAAGGCCAGATGGTCTTCTCATAGAAGGCCAGATGGTCTTTTTATAGAAGGCCAGAAGGTCTTTTTATAGAAGGCCAGAAGGTCTTCTCAAGAAGGCCAGAAGATCTTCTCATAGAAGGCCAGGTTTTCCCGTAGAAGAGCTGAAGGTCATATCACAGAGGAGCTGAAGGTCTTTTCACAACTAAGCAGAATATATTCTCAAAGAAGAGCAGAGTGTATTTTCAGAAAAGAGCGAATGTATTTCCCAGATAAATGAGGAAGACCTTTCTAATAGAAGATCAGTAGGTCTTAACATTGAAGAGCAAATGGTCTTCACGGAAAAGAGCATAAGACTAAAAAAGGAATCTGTAGACTTTAAAAAAATTATAATTTTTCAGGAAATTCCTAAAATCTTCATCTCAATGTCTAATGATCCCTCAAAAATATATTCAAAAAATCAACGTCTCTGGCTTTAAAAATCATTGAGAAACATTTTTTCGTTCTCGGCCCTGATAAACTTTTAAAATATTCTTGGAATACCCATGGTTTAGACTTTGTTAGTCCTTTGGACAGTTTTCTTAAAAACTTCAAATTATAGACTCTAAAATCTTTAAAAAAATTCCAAAACTATGTATTTTTTGCTCCTTTAATTTTTGAGAAATATGAATTATTAAAAAAGGGCTTTTGACATTGACAGTCCTCTAAAATTCTTCGATCTTCATGATTCCTAAGTACAAATGATTACCAATTATCATTGTGACAAAAAAATAAAAACTTTAAAAGTCGTTGGAAAAATATTTGTAAATTCCTGAACAATTAATATAAAAAGTCAACAGCGCAATATCTTATAAAATATTAAAAAAAATAAATGTTTATTATTAATGTTTATTTTTAAAAATAATAAATAAATATCCACGATTATATTCCAAAATATCCTAGATTTCCCCCAAAAATCGTTCAACTGTTGTACAAATATTAAATTTTTTTTCGCTCAGTTAGTCCTTACAAATATATTCTGAAAATTATTTATATTTTCGCTTGAGATCGTTAAAATAGATCATTAAATAAGATGCTGATAGTACTAAAAGCATTTTAGTTAAAAATCAACCTGAAAGTTTTAATACTTAAATTTCCAATATACACTGGTGGCCAAAACTAAAGCAACTTAAATCGCAAAGACAATAAATGTCCTGTAACTTTTACAAAAATAAACAAATCGTAATTATTTTTCCAGTTTTATATGAGGGTTTTAATTCACTTTTAAGAAACTAAAAATAAAAATACAAAAATGATTTTGAACGAAAAATAATATGTGGAAAACTAAAATGACCCAATTTTTGCTTGGTCAAAACTAAAGCAACTTTTGATTTTTTATTTTAAAATAATTAAATTTTGGCTAGTAGTCGATAGCATAACCATTATTTTTGATAGCAGCTGCACACCTACGAGTCATTGAATCTATAACACGCTCAATTTGATCCTTGGGTGTGCTTTCCCAGGCACCCCGAATTTTTTGGAAAATGTTGTGTTTACTTATTTCCGAATCTCGCTTGACCTTCCTATCTACGATACTCCAAAGGTTTTCTATGGAGTTTAGGTCAGGTGATTGTGCCGGCCATAACAAAACATCAATTTTTGACTCCCGCAACCAATATTTGACAAGTTTTAATAGAAGTTTGGGATCATTGTCATGCTGAAACACCCAAATCAGCCGAATATTTTACTCAGCGTAAGGGAACAACGTGATGTCCAACACATCTTTGTAAACAAACCGATCCACGACTTCCTTTATTTTATGGATAGGCCCAAGTCCATAGAAAGAAAAACAGCGCCACGCCATTTTTGACCCTCCCTCATGCTTCACTGTACCTTTGCAACACTGCGGCTTGAGTCCTTCATTTTTTGGTCTTCTCACCGTAAATTTTTTCACGTCTGAGCCTTTAATATTGAACGTAGACTCATCCCAGAATTGATGTTTTTTCCATTGAGCTTGATTCCACTTAATATTATCGTTTCCGAAAGCCTTTTTGATTTTTTCAGATATAAATGGTTTTTTGATGTCTTACGGACATGCAGACCAGCTGCCACTACTCGTCTACGCACTGATCTCCAGCTTATATCCAATGATTGCTCTGTCACCAATCCAGTTGAACTCTTAAATAGTTGTTTTTTATTTCTCTCACAATTTGTGGATTAGTACGGGCTGAAGTTTTTCACGGCCTTCATCCGTTATAGACTGTTACTACTGATCCAGTTTCAAAAAACCGACTTAGTATACAGAAATAATTATGAAATCACAGAAATATTTATGAAATATTTCTCGGAAATTATTTTCTGTGATATGTTGTTTTGATAGTCACTGATAATTTGCTGTTTAATTCAGTTACTGTATTTGCTTCTAGCCATTTTTAAAATTTTTTTGGGCAGTTCCTAAAAAAACGAAAAGAAAAACACATACTATTGTAAAAAAACTTCTCAAAAAGGATTTATGACAAGCGAAATTGTCGAAGGAAGCAAAAAGCGATAAATATCACAGTAAAAACAACTGAAATTGCTGCGGTTATATGAATGTACAACAGAGTTGCTTTTGTTTTGTCCAAGCCAAAATCGGGTTAACTTACTTTACCAAACATTATTTTTTATATAAAAATTAATTTTGGTTTTATGTTTTAGGTTTTGAAAAAGTGAATAAAGTACCTAATTTAAAACAAGAAAAACTTTCTCATTTTCTTAATTTTTGAAAAAGTAACAGGGCATTCATTCTCCTTGTAATTTCAGTTGCTTTAGTTTTGGCCACCAGTGTACTTACCCATATTTTCCCAATATACTTACTTTTAATTTCCCTTTATACAGCCACAAGAAATAAAATATTAAAAAACCAAAAATATTTTTTAAAAAAGTGATTTATTTTCATTAATAAGATTCAATTACAAACCTATAAAAAATGGCTGTCTTGAGTGTTATGTATAAAAATTAATATTACAAAACAAAAATAATATAAATAATTGTTATAAAATATGTGGATATAAATTACGTGACAAAAATGTGAAATAATTTTTATAATACATTATGATGTAAATTAAATAAATGTTAATGAATGCAACTTAAAGTATAAATAACAATGATGAAATGCGAAAAATGCGGTGACTTAAAATTACAAATATAAAATGATAATATTATTAAAAATAGTACATTGTTACTAAAACAATTAAAAATGATTAAATTTAAAATAGATGTATGTATAAAATAATATTAAAAAAGAACATGAAACG